TTATAGATGTATTACTGTGTAAAGGATGTGCTCCCTAGGTGTTATAGATGTATTACTGTGTAAAGGATGTGCACCCCAGGTGTTATATATGTATTGCAGTGTAAAGGATGTGCTCCCTAGGTGTTATAGATGTATTACTGTGTAAAGGATGTGCACCCCAGGTGTTATAAATGTATTGCAGTGTAAAGGATGTGCTCCCCAGGTGTTATATATGTATTGCAGTGTAAAGGATGTGCTCCCCAGGTGGTCTATATGTATTGCAGTGTAAAGGATGTGCTGCCAGGTGTTATAGATGTATTGCAGTGTAAAGGATGTGCTCCCCAGGTGTTATAGATGTATTGCAGTGTAAAGGATGTGCTGCCAGGTGTATTGCAGTGCAAAGGATGTGCTGCCAGGTGTTATAGATGTATTGCAGTGTAAAGGATGTGCTCCCCAGGTGTTATAGATGTATTGCAGTATAAAGGATGTGCTCCCCAGGTGTTATTAAATGTATTGCAGTGTAAAGGATGTGCTCCCCAGGTGGTCTATATGTATTGCAGTGTAAAGGATGTGCTGCCAGGTGTTATAGATGTATTGCAGTGTAAAGGATGTGCTTCCCAGGTGTTCTATATGTATTGCAGTGTAAAGGATGTGCTGCCAGGTGTATTGCAGTGCAAAGGATGTGCTGCCAGGTGTTATAGATGTATTGCAGTGTAAAGGATGTGCTCCCCAGGTGTTATAGATGTATTGCAGTGTAAAGGATGTACTGCCAGGTGTTATAGATGTATTGCAGTGTAAAGGATGTGCTGCCAGGTGTTATAGATGTATTGCAGTGTAAAGGATGTGCTCCCCAGGTGTTATAGATGTATTGCAGTGTAAAGGATGTGCTGCCAGGTGTATTGCAGTGTAAAGGATGTGCTGCCAGGTGTTATAGATGTATTGCAGTGTAAAGGATGTGCTCCCCAGGTGTTATAGATGTATTGCAGTGTAAAGGATGTGCTCCCAAGGTGGTCTATATGTATTGCAGTGTAAAGGATGTGCTGCCAGGTGTTATAGATGTATTGCAGTGTAAAGGATGTGCTTCCCAGGTGTTATAGATGTATTGCAGTGTAAAGGATGTGCTGCCAGGTGTATTGCAGTGCAAAGGATGTGCTGCCAGGTGTTATAGATGTATTGCAGTGTAAAGGATGTGCTCCCCAGGTGTTATAGATGTATTGCAGTATAAAGGATGTGCTCCCCAGGTGTTATTAAATGTATTGCAGTGTAAAGGATGTGCTCCCCAGGTGGTCTATATGTATTGCAGTGTAAAGGATGTGCTGCCAGGTGTTATAGATGTATTGCAGTGTAAAGGATGTGCTTCCCAGGTGTTCTATATGTATTGCAGTGTAAAGGATGTGCTGCCAGGTGTATTGCAGTGCAAAGGATGTGCTGCCAGGTGTTATAGATGTATTGCAGTGTAAAGGATGTGCTCCCCAGGTGTTATAGATGTATTGCAGTGTAAAGGATGTACTGCCAGGTGTATTGCAGTGTAAAGGATGTGCTGCCAGGTGTTATAGATGTATTGCAGTGTAAAGGATGTGCTCCCCAGGTGTTATAGATGTATTGCAGTGTAAAGGATGTGCTGCCAGGTGTATTGCAGTGTAAAGGATGTGCTGCCAGGTGTTATAGATGTATTGCAGTGTAAAGGATGTGCTCCCCAGGTGTTATAGATGTATTGCAGTGTAAAGGATGTGCTCCCAAGGTGTTATAGATGTATTGCAGTGTAAAGGATGTACCCCAGGTGTTATAGATGTATTGCAGTGTAAAGGATGTTCACCCCAGGTGTTATAGATATATTGCAGTGTAAAGGATGTGCTCCCCAGGTGTTATAGATGTATTGCAGTGTAAAGGATGTTCTACCCAGGTGTTATATATGTATTGCAGTGTAAAGGATGTGCACCCCAGGTGGTCTAGATGTATTGCAGTGTAAAGGATGTGCACCCCAGGTGTTCTATATGTATTGCAGTGTAAAGGATGTACTGCCAGGTGTTATATATGTATTGCAGTGTAAAGGATGTGCTCCCCAGGTGTTCTATATGTATTGCAGTGTAAAGGATGTGCACCCCAGGTGTTCTAGATGTATTGCAGTGTAAAGGATGTGCACCCCAGGTGTTCTATATGTATTGCAGTGTAAAGGATGTGCTCCCCAGGTGGTCTAGATGTATTGCAGTGTAAAGGATGTGCACCCCAGGTGTTATATATGTATTGCAGTGTAAAGGATGTTCTACCCAGGTGTTCTATATGTATTGCAGTGTAAAGGATGTTCTACCCAGGTGGTCTAGATGTATTGCAGTGTAAAGGATGTTCTACCCAGGTGTTCTAGATGTATTGCCGTGTAAAGGATGTGCACCCCAGGTGTTCTATATGTATTGCAGTGTAAAGGATGTGCTCCCCAGGTGGTCTAGATGTATTGCAGTGTAAAGGATGTTCTACCCAGGTGTTCTAGATGTATTGCAGTGTAAAGGATGTGCTCCCCAGGTGTTTATGAGGCTCACATTCTGTTGTTTTCTTTGCAGTGTAACATCTATAGTTCCGAGGTTTCGTTGTCATGGTTATCTGGCATAATGTACAGAGGTATTCTGTTTATTCTTTTCATACTTTTAAGACTTTAATGCAACTTTAATACAATCCAATGAAGTAAGACAAAACACCATCTTATGTTTCAGGACTGGTCACCACCAGCACCAGTTTGAAACCTGTGTTTGTGCCGGCCAGTGGTCACATTATAGGAGCCTTCCCCACAGACCAGAACATGATCTTCACTCCCAGCAAGTCATAGCAGATGCTTGCCAACACAGACCAGAACATGATGTTCACTCCCAGCAAGTTGAAGCAGGTGCTTGCCAGCACAGCCAGGAAAGTCATAGCAGGTGCTTGCCAACACAGACAGGAACATGATCTTCACTCAACACTTGGGAAGTGGACAAATAAACACATTGCATGTGCACTTTGTGAACCTGATGGTTTGTTCTCCATTTTAGATCATGTGGCGTATGTTTGTTGTTGACAAACATGAAACTTGTCTTGTTACTTACATGTGTTTAGAAACATTGTTGAACATTTGTGAACATGGTCATAAGAGGATTCAGCCTCTATGTCTCATGTCAGTGTAACCTGGTCAGTGTGGATGTTTCTCCACTACAGCTCATTATACAGTATATAGTGTAAAGATGTGTGTGAGTCTATGTCTAGTGTCAGTGTAACCTGGTCAGTGTGGATGTTTCTCCACTACAGCTCATTATACAGTATATAGTGTAAAGATGTGTGTGAGTCTATGTCTCGTGTCAGTGAAACCTGGTCAGTGTGGATGTTTCTCCACTACAGCTCATTATACAGTATATAGTGTAAAGATGTGTGTGAGTCTATGTCAGTGTAACCTGGTCAGTGTGGATGTTTCTCCACTACAGCTCATTGGTCAGTAAAGATGTGTGAGGATGTTTCTCCACTACACTACAGCTCATTATACAGTATATAGTGTAAAGATGTGTAAAGTCCTCGTGTGTGTGAAACCTGGTCAGTGTGGATGTTTCTCCAGTCTATAGTGTAAAGTGAGTCTATGTCTCGTGGTCAGTGAAACCTGGTCAGTGTGGATGTTTCTCCACTACAGCTCATTATACAGTATATAGTGTAAAGATGTGTGTGAGTCTATGTCTCGCGGTCAGTGAAACCTGGTCAGTGTGGATGTTTCTCCACTACAGCTCATTATACAGTATATAGTGTAAAGATGTGTGTGAGTCTATGTCGTGTCAGTGAAACCTGGTCAGTGTGGATGTTTCTCCACTACAGCTCATTATACTGGTCATATAGTGTAAAGAGTGAGTCTATGTCCGGTCAGTGAAACCTGGTCAGTGTGGATGTTTCTCCACTACAGCTCATTATACAGTATATAGTGTAAAGATGTGTGTGAGTCTATGTCTCGTGGTGTAACCTGGTCAGTGTGGATGTGTCAGTGAAACCTGGTCAGTGTGGATGTTTCTCCACTACAGCTCATTATACAGTATATAGTGTAAAGATGTGTGTGAGTCTATGTCTCGTGTCAGTGTAACCTGGTCAGTGTGGATGTTTCTCCACTACAGCTCATTATACAGTATATAGTGTAAAGATGTGTGTGAGTCTATGTCTCGTGTCAGTGAAACCTGGTCAGTGTGGATGTTTCTCCACTACAGCTCATTATACAGTATATAGTGTAAAGATGTGTGTGAGTCTATGTCTCGCAGTGTCAGTGTAACCTGGTCAGTGTGGATGTTTCTCCACTACAGCTCATTATACAGTATATAGTGTAAAGATGTGTGTGAGTCTATGTCTCGTGTCAGTGAAACCTGGTCAGTGTGGATGTTTCTCCACTACAGCTCATTATACAGTATATAGTGTAAAGATGTGTGTGAGTCTATGTCTCGTGTCAGTGTAACCTGGTCAGTGTGGATGTTTCTCCACTACAGCTCATTATACAGTATATAGTGTAAAGATGTGTGTGAGTTATGTTCTGATTAAAAGACACATATTGTGAAGTGATTATACTCTGTGTGTTTATCAATAGTAGTGTTGGTAAACCAAGGGTAGACTGATGTATGGATGAGGTGAGTGTCGACAATAGTGGTGGGGGTCATCAATAGTAGTGTGGGTACCAAATATACAGCATTCTCTAATGCAAACCCAGCAAAATTCTATGCTTTCTGGTCCTCCTTCCATACACTTTTTGCTAATTATACCAATTTAGATGTTCTTTAAATATAACGCAATTTGACAGTACATCTGAATATTTGTATACATATTAGCCTTTGGGTAAAGATAGCAGATATACAGTACAACCAGAAATTATTGAGAATTTAAGATTGTAAATTTTCATGTATTTATGTGTGTATAGACAATCTAGTGAAGATATGTTTAGGGTAGTCAACTTACTGTAAAACCTTTTAAAGCTCAATTGATTGTAACAAACTCGTGTCGACAAACTTTGAAAGGTAATAACAAACTAAAGGGTGTGATATTTACTAGATTTATTATATAAAATAACTGACAAAAACAAGTTCACTTCAAAGTTGTTTGAACATTTTGTTTATGTTATGCATACAAGAGAGATTAAATAGGCATATGGTATATACAATGACAGGTACTGACTTCCTCAAATCTTCAACACATATGTACATACAGTATACTGATAGTACACATAATGTATCCACACTGGTGACTGATACGTCTATCAGAGGATCTAATACAATCAAATAAACAGTAATCAATTTGATACCAAATACTGTTTGTTCATGATCAAGAACGGATCATTCTATTGCATTTTGGCTTTATTTCATCGCAGCTGTGATATGCATAGACAAGAGTTGATCAAAACTACTACTTCATGAAGTAAAACAACAAGGTAATAAATAAAGGGTAAAAGTCTCTAAAGATGGAGATGGGGATCTGACAGTGTAAAACAACGACCTTGTGTAGAGACGATACAAACATGTAATGGTCATCCAAATGGTTAAGTTGAGAACCAAGTTGAGCAATATAACAACATGGTGATCGTTAAGTCAGTCATCTCCATAGTAACTGTTCAAGGAGACTATATCACAGGATGACATCAAAAGGAAAATTCTCGCTATCTGAACATTACCTTCTTCAGGTAACAAACATGAATGAAAGGAAATTCCTGCCTGTTAAATGCAATATTTGAAAATTCTTTGAGTTAAGTAGTGCCTTATTTAAACATGAGATTTTCATAAGAGTATGTCAGTGATGAACATCAGGTAGTCAAGCCAAGTTTGTTGTTTAACACTGGACTGAGCAATATTACAGCTATATGGTGGCAGGCTGTAAATAAACCCCAAGTTTGGACCAGACAATCCAATGATTGATCTATGAAAGTGGGATACAGTGACATGTGTCTACCAGGGCATGCCCTGCATGTGTGAGGAAATGTGCTGGAGTCTTACAACAGGTCCACCTGATGGTCCAGGTGTGGTCCACCTACCTGGGTACCAGCTACAGAACTAGGTGAGGATGGCACTAGGTGTAAATGTACTCAAAGTCATCCAAAGTAGATGAGGTATGTTTAGAGATGAAAATATGTGTTAAAACAACACTTTTAATACGATTATGAAAAGCTGTGTCATAAAGATACACTTTAATTTGTCAAAGACACTAACAGCATGATATTTTGTATGGCTGCTCAACAGCCAAGATGTAGGCGAAGCCCCTGAGATCTTTGAGAACACAACATACCAAGACAGCCATGTTGGATAGTCTCACTGCTGCAGCCAGAGAGCTAGGATATATATTCCACTTAAGTTTGCAAACCTACATACATTTGTTCTTTTAAAACATCAGAATGAAGGTGCAATAATAAAATAATGGCACACATTAAACAAAATAACCATCCAAATATTTTGATCTGATTTAGTATGTGAGTAGAATGTTTTGGCAACTTTGTCCTGTAAACTGAAGGCATTCACATTGAGGCTAGTTGATGAAAGGTACTTTCACTATTGTGTAACTATACAGTGAGATATCACAGTATGTGACTTGTCATGCGTCTGCTCCATATAGCAGTGAACTTTGGTCTTGGAGACAGATATAATACAGATATCACTTATTCACAACAGTTGATTTCAATCCAACCCATAAACAATTTCATTGAGATCAGATATTTGACAGCTTTCTAGAATGATTTGACTTCACTTCTATACTGCTCTGACTCGAACATATTTCCACAGAGAAAGGTAATGTATCGGAGATAAATGTGGTTGATCCCATACATGTACACAGTTTCCTCAGATATGACTTCCCCGGAAAAGAGCATCATGTGATTTGGGACGATGGATTTCGAGGTATATGTAATGTAAGCAAACATCACAAGTGCTTCAGAACCACATAACCAGAGTCATTGTCATGGAGATAAGTTGGCAACAGCTACAGCTTCTTCAAAAGACACTAATAAAATAGTTACAGAATCAAACATTTTGTTCACTCTGTATAAAAACAGTATGTAACACTTGTGGGTTTTTTCAAGTTAAGAAATTTGAACTATTTTAATCCAGAAGATGTAATTAGATTAGGCTGAGACCCCATGGAGGTCACAACTGTGCCTCGATCGCATGCAGTATTGAAATAATGCCCTATGGACAAGAAATATATTAAAAATAGATACTAATTTGTTCAAGATACTACCAACTGCATGCTTCCAAACTATTCTTTCTGTTAACATGAAAGTGCGGACATTCTGTCGGCGATGACACAGTGAGTAAGAACAGTTGAAACTACAGCAGACTGAAGTTTGTATTGTGTCTCACATAAGACAAGTGAGGTTATGAGAAGAAGTTGAATGGATACCTAATGCAGATATATGATTCATGAAAGTTGTTGAATCAATACCCAATTCAGATGTACAATTTGCTGGAGGAATCTTTTCTTTCATAGCACAATGTGGTGTATGGTTGTTCCGAGTTGGGTGGCACTCTATGAGAGATCTGGCTAGCCACACAAGTGACCTGCAGATTCTTGACCAATGACTAGTCTATTTGTCCTTCTTGGCTTCAATAACACCATTAGCCGTTACGACGCTACCGTTCCTCTTGTGGCCCCGTGTAGTACCATTTGCAACTTTTCCATTGGCGACCTGGGCCTTTGACTCTCCTCCCTGCAGCACAAGCAATTTGTGATGTAGACATGTGAATCAGTAACTGATGGACACGACTTGTAATAAGATGGTTTAGCAGGCAATGGTTTGATCTGATTAAGACAAAAATGATCTTTGAAGAAATGCTGTATTTTTATTGTGAAAAAGCTGTATCAGGACATACTGTCTTGATTAATTTAAGCAGGTTTTAAGAAGAAATACTTTTCATCCTTCAAGCTCCAACAAGTTTAAATTGAAAATGAGCTTGATGTTTTTACACCCATGAAAACTGTGTGACTATATGGGTCAAGTTCCCCAATCCCTTGTACTTACTGACAGGTCCACTGTGAATGGCTATAAACATGATCTTTGGACTCCTATATACACCTACCCATAATACAGCATAGTAACCCTTACCCATTGTATAACCTAATACCTACCCATAATACAGCATAGTAACCCTCACCCATTGTATAACCTAATACCTACCCATAATACAGCATAGTACCACAGATAGCATAACCCTCACCCATTGTATAACCTAATACCTACCCATAATACAGCATAGTACCACAGATAGCATAGCCCTCACCCATTGTATAACCTAATACCTACCCATAATACAACATAGTACCACAGATAGCATAACCCTCACCCATTGTATAACCTAATACCTACCCATAATACAGCATAGTACCACAGATAGCATAACCCTCACCCATTGTATAACCTAATACCTACCCATAATACAGCATAGTACCACAGATAGCATAACCCTCACCCATTGTATAATAATACCTACCCATAATACAGCATAGTACCACAGATAGCATAACCCTCACCCATTGTATAACCTAATACCCACCCATAATACAGCATAGTACCACAGATAGCATAACCCTCACCCATTGTATAACCTAATACCTACCCATAATACAGCATAGTACCACAGATAGCATAACCCTCACCCATTGTATAACCTAATACCTACCCATAATACAGCATAGTACCACAGATAGCATAACCCTCACCCATTGTATAACCTAATACCTACCCATAATACAGCATAGTACCACAGATAGCATAACCCTCACCCATTGTATAACCTAATACCTACCCATAATACAGCATAGTACCACAGATAGCATAACCCTCACCCATTGTATAACCTAATACCTACCCATAATACAGCATAGTACCACCAATAGCATAACCCTCACCCATTGTATAACCTAATACCTACCCATAATACAGCATAGTACCACCAATAGCATAACCCTCACCCATTGTATAACCTAATACCTACCCATAATACAGCATGGTACCACAGATAGCATAACCCTCACCCATTGTATAACCTAATACCTACCCATAATACAGCATGGTACCACAGATAGCATAACCCTCACCCATTGTATAACCTAATACCTACCCATAATACAGCATGGTACCACCAATAGCATAACCCTCACCCATTGTATAACCTAATACCTACCCATAATACAGCATGGTACCACCAATAGCATAACCCTCACCCACTGTATAACCTAATACCTACACATAATACAGCATAGTACCACCAATAGCATAACCCTCACCCATTGTATAACCTAATACCTACCCATAATACAGCATGGTACCACCAATAGCATAACCCTCACCCATTGTATAACCTAATACCTGCCCATAATACAGCATGGTACCACCAATAGCATAACCCTCACCCACTGTATAACCTAATACCTGCCCATAATACAGCATGGTACCACCAATAGCATAACCCTCACCCATTGTATAACCTAATACCTGCCCATAATACAGCATGGTACCACCAATAGCATAACCCTCACCCACTGTATAACCTAATACCTGCCCATAATACAGCATGGTACCACCAATAGCATAACCCTCACCCATTGTATAACCTAATATCGTACCTACCCTTAACACAGCATAGTACCACATAGCATAACTCTCACCCACTGTATCACATAATACCTACCCATAACTAAAGCATATAACCACCCATTGTGAAGTATATTACCCATCTCAAATGGAGCATAGTACCAACCCATTATCCAGCATAATACTCACCCATACTAAAGCCTAATACCTAACCATAATAAAGCATAATACCCAATACAGCATAATACCCACCCATAATAAAGCCTAATGTCTCAACCATTATCAAGCCTAATGCCCACCCTTAAAAATGCATAAGACCCAGCAATAAAGACACTACTATCCAAGTATTTCTGAACTGTAAGTAACCAACCCACAACCATTTCCAGCACTATCATGAGAACCATGAGATAACTGTCCTGATGAGGTAACCAACCTCCATCCCCAGAGTCACTGTTCTCTAAGTATGGAAAATCATGTTTTGCCATCAATACTGAACCGTCGTGGTGAGGACACCAAGCTGTCCTCAGAGGAAGCAAAGTTTGGGGTCATGGATTTACCTTGGTCTTGGCTGATCGAGATTTCAAGTAGGTGTGGAAGTAGAAGTTGAGAAACAGAAGAAGAATGGTGAATGCGTAAAATATCAACGCCCAGTGTAGAGCTTCCGGGAAGTCGCAACCTTTACCCAGCGACTGAACAGCATGCACGATTCCGGTCACAAACTGAATCTAAAATGGCACAAAAAACAAAAAGCGTAAAAAACAAATTTACCTTTGATTTAGACGTGGGCTTTTTCTTGAGGTATGCTTGGATGTAAAAGTTGATAAATAGGGTGATAATTGTTATTCCATAGACTAGGCCCGCATACTGCATCCAATTGGGAAAGTCGCACTCTATTAACAATCCTTGGATTCCGTACACCATTCCGATAAAGAATTGGAGCTACAAGCAGAAGAGAAATACGCATGCATAAAGGACGTGCCGCAGCACCAAGCTTGCTTTAGGTCTAGCAATCAGTGAGGATTCATTCACCATTATTTACTGTTACATGGAAGAACGTGAACATTGAACCATGCCTGTCAATATTGTACACTATGTTAGTTTCATGTAAACCAATGAAAGTCAGGTTGGAAGATATTGCGATATGACAAGGACAAGGAAATAACCTTTTTTACAATGTATGTACATGAGAAAGAGGAGCATTCTTAATTCCATTTTCAAAATACATAATTTTGTGTTGATTTTTGGACTTCATTTTGATTTCAGTAATTACAATTTGTATCTTATACATACGGTAAACTGCCATTGTCATATCATAAGGTTGACGCAGGAATGTATGACTGGAAGTGACAGATAGGAAATGGAATTCCTGGCATGCCTACACAAGATAATCGAAGGGAGTATGAAACCAGATGTTGCTACCATATTAACATATCTTCTGAACTAGCCATAAAAATTCGCGAATGTATTTATTGGACACACAAAGTTTTCAAGCAGAGCACAAGTGTGGGTGCAAAAACATGGAAAGTTTTCAAAAGAAACTATTTTAGAAAACATTCCCACACAGATTTCAACTCATTCAGACAGACACATTTCAAAGGAGAGCACACTTTGAAACACACTTTGTTTCATTTAATTTACCAACTTTCAAACTCTCTGGTTTTAACGAGGATGGTAGGTCAGGGTATTTTTCTGAGAAGCATTTGACTTTTGTTGAACAGCGCATAAATGTATTAGTATGAGGTGCATTACATCAAGCTTCAGGATCTGTTAGATCAAGCATTAGTTTATAAGAAGCAGAAGCACCAGCCTAGCACTAGCCATTGCTGATTGAAAGAGGAGAGAAGCAAGAAGAAAGCAAGGGTAAGAGAGGATATCATTGCATGAAACCTACGTGGCCATGTTGTTTCTGGTTAAACTGATAATCATAACAGTAAATGATGCCCCAAAACAGCCTGATCCATCAAATTGATGATGATGCACAAGTTCTCATTTCGATTTTAAAAGTTGTTTTAGTTTCACATTTTCTAAATAGACGTATTCTTGTTGATGTTTTCATGAGACCTCATAGGGATATTACTCATGATCTGGGCATGGTCTGTCAGTCACCATAGAGCACAGCTTGGTTAGCCAACCTTTGGGCTAAACACTTGATATCCTGATGACCTACCAGTCAATGTTTATTAAGACATTGCACCTAACTCTAGACCACAGTTAAATTCACAAGAAGAAAACAGACCAGCCATTGGTCACAATGACTACCACTCATTTACAGTGGTGACTGGGTGCCTGAATCGCATTTAATGCCTCTGAACAATTAGTTCTATGATGGCTTCTTATCTCAGGTGCCATTGTACAAAGTGATCTTAGCATTAAGGTGATCATAACTCCTATGGCTTAACATAGACTCGGCGGTGGGATAGCCTAGTGGTTAAAGCGTTGACTCGTCACGCCGAAGGCCCGGGTTCGATTCCCCACATGGGCACAATGTGTTAAGCCCATTTCTTGTGTCCCCCGCCGTGATATTGCTGGAATATTGCTAAAAGCGGCGTAAAACTAAACTCAGTCAGTCAGTAACATAGACTCACAACAGTTTTAACATTGATGTTGCTTTGTACAACGGTACCTAGTGTGGGATATATAGCCATTGTGATGTGGCTTGTGTTCTCAGGTAGCCAATAAGCACAGGTATGGTGCAAACAAACCAAGGATTATGATTAGTGCAAATGTGGGATAATTTCATTAGATCCTGGCACAGCAAAGGGAGACAACTCTGTTTAATGAATTAAAGCTACCACCACTGGGCCATATTTACCTCAAGTGGGTAGTGCGTGGTAGGGTAGAATCACTATCCATCTTGTCTAAGTGGATCAAAGTGGATAGTGATGCCCGGAGGAGTCTAGTGCAGGATGGGGCTACAGAAGCAGGTACCCAAAGCACAAGGCTGTCATAGAGCTAAGGTGGACATAACTCGGATACTGTAGCATAGGCCTTACAACAGTCCTGGTGCTAAGATCATTTTGTGCAACAGGACCATGAAGGACGAAGGATGGGCTACAGAAGGTGGTGGTGGAAATACAGGACGATAAATGCACGTAAAAGGAAACTAAGGGATATATGGAGGAAAGTAATGGATAATATGTCACTAGGGAAAGTAAACAATATACGAGGGATAATAAACCCAATAACACAGTAAAGATGTATCTACAAACATGGTTTCTATGTAAAACTTGATGCTAGGCAAGCTTGTCTGCTAACAACACTAGGTTTGCATGCGTACTTCAATATCCATTGCTAGCTCCATTCTTACAAGGAAACTAAGGAGAAACCACTCTGTGATGGTATATCATCTTCACAAATGTGACATATGAAAATGCAGATTAATCTTCACTCCACACAGGATTCATAACTGACAGAATGTGGAGGTAACCTGTTGTCATGACATACCATCACCCTGATTAATGAACAAATGTTATATATCAGAATACAAAACTAGGCTGCATTGGTGGATCCAGAGGGGGGGTTCAGGTTCCCACCCCCACCCCCGAAAATGACTTAAGACCACATTGAAGATTTTTGGGGGGGGTTCAGGGTGTTCGAAAAAAAACCCACCAACCCCCCCACCCTCGAAATTCCAGGATCCGCCTATGGGCTGGACTATTTCTCAAAACAAGAAAATGAAGTGTACTAAAAAGTAAATGAATAAAAACTAAATGTTACAAAATGGGATAAAATGGATTAAAACAAGGTTAAATTATGAATTGAAAATATTACAAAATAGGTCAGGAAGGAAGAGATGGGAAAAACAAGCAAAACATTTATATCATTTGCAAAATATCTCACTAAGTACGATCAAGATTAGAATTAGTAACCCATGCTTGTCGTAAGAAGCAACTAACAGGATCGGGTGGTCAGGCTCACTGACTCCCAGTTGCATAGATCCATGCTCATACTGTTGATAATTCTATTGTCTGGTCCAAATTCGATTATTTTTAGACCACCACCATATAGCTGGAATATTGCTGAGTGTGGCATTAAACAATAAAGAAAGAAAACAAACCAAACATTCAAGTATATGCTCTACAGGCAAAAACACTCTATGGCAACTCAACTAGAAGCATCTTTGTCACTGTGAATCATGGATCATGGAAGTCCGTCAAGATCCGGGTTAGAATTGGTCTTCAGTAACCCATGCTTATCGTAAGAGGCAACTAACGGGATCGGGTGGTCACTATCCCGACACAAAGAATTAAAACATTCCATCACCTGTCACTTCAGAATGACCTTTACTCTGACCGATTCCAAATGCTGGACATTGTCTACATCTCACTTAAATGGGATAAACATTTGAAAGGAAGAGATTTTCAGAGCCTATGGGATGTAATTAAGTACAATTTTAGCCATTTATTGGCGATTCCAGAATTTCCTTTTTTCATATTTCATATTCTGAATCACCCCCATTTTCAAACTAGTGCTGGTAAATTTAAGAATGCAGTTTAAGCATTTGCTTTTGGATATACAAATGTTGACTTCCTGTCAGTTATTTCATTCGGCTGGTTGAAGTTTGCAGAAGACGTCTCTGACGTGACATGTAATGTTATGTCCTAAGACTTATTGCTTTGCAGAAGCAAGAACTAAGATCTGATTAATATGAAATTTCCCTTCAACAGTGTAACCTGCATATGAACAAAACTATGCAAAGATGTGGCATCAACTAACAACAGAATACTCTAAACGGTAAACGTAGCGATGACACAAAAAGAAAGAGCTTCAAAATCTGATCATGAATTATTGAAAACAAACAGCACTAAACACCAAATAAGTGGTCAAATAGCTAATGTAGGAAGAATTAATTCTAACCACATTTACAATCTACACTATCTACCAAGTTAATAACTATCAAAGTTAATGCAGAAGTTCATCTGGGTCAATTCCAACGAAATGGACCTAACATTTTTCAGACAGTGGTCTACCCAGAATGCATGGACATACAGGTGTATCACTCATCTTGCCCACAAACTTCAGGATCCCTTGGGCTTTTTTAGAATAGTAATATGTAAAATTATCAAAACCAATGGCTCTTATCCCTGCCATGAAGTTGTAATCAGTGCTTTCTGCTGATAGCAAGGTGTCCTTGAACTATAACAAGTGGCCTTGACCTTTATCTACATTCCAGTATGGAGTGAGCGAGAAACACACTGCACTTTGTGTTATGGGGAAACCAATGGACTGAGAATGCTGACACATGCATGCCCTTGTGGTACACTCAAGACAGCTGCCCACACTCGCATGTCCAGCAGGATTGGGTGACCCAATTTCAGTTGGTGCCAGAAAATCTGATACATTATTCCATCAAATAATGATGTGTGATGGTGCACAATCCTGCCACTCATGTGTCAGCTATCTCAGCCCTACACCGGTCAACAGCATGCAGTAACAGTCAAACAAGGACTCACCAGTTGGAGTTTGGTCAGGTAGCGCTTCCACCAAAGGTATTTTTGGTACTCTGGTCCAAGAGCCGACACGCCGTAGTATGTGTACATCACAACATGGATGAATGAGTTGATCATGGCACCGAAGAAGGCTGGAAAGTCAACATTTACAGGAAGGTCAAATCAATTTATTGGACAATTATCAAAGATTATAATGCATAAGCCATAGGCTTAAAAAGACCTTCTCCTCAAATACACTCTTCTTTGTCATTAAGATTTTGTTCATTTATTACTAGTGTAGGATTGAGATTTCTATCATGGTGTTAACTAATATTACAAAAACAAAGATCCTCCACTTCTTAATTTTAGGTTGCCCCTCTCAAAATCATTATTCTTTTTTTTTAAACATATCTTTGTTCTCGTCTTGTTTTCAAACTTGAATGCGTGACCCTAAATTGAGCATGTATTTCAAAATTTTGTTTTTAATGAAATCATCCACACACAAAAACATCAGTCCAATAAAAGATCTTGAACGAAAATATCTTGTACCCTGTGTGTATTCAGTAAAAGAATAGAGTTGGTTCAATATGTTCTGGTATACTCACACTGTCCGCCGGCCACCCACTTGATGCCGATCCACCAGATGGGAAACATGGAGGCGTGGTGGTACACGTGCAGGAAACTCACTTGGTTGTCCTTCTTCCGCAGCATGATGAAGAATATAGTGTCCAACATCTCCACACACTTGGAGAAGTAAAACCACCACAGAGCACTGGCTATCTGGAGGCCAAACACAGACACGTTACACAGGCTCTCACAGACAATACAGGCTGATAACAGACACGTTACACAGGCACTCACAGACACGTTACACAGGCACTCGCAGACAATACAGGCTGATAACAGACACGTTACACAGGCACTCACAGACAATACAGGCTGATAACAGACACGTTACACAGGCACTCACAGACACGTTACACAGGCACTCACAGACAATACAGGCTGATAACAGACACGTTACACAGGCACTCACAGACAATACAGGCTGATAACAGACACGTTATACAGGCACTCGCAGACAATACAGGCTGATAACAGACACATTGTACAGGCACTCACAGACAATACAGGCTGATAACAGACACGCTACACAGGCTGATAACAGACAATACAGGCTGATAACAGACACGCTACACAGGCACTCACAGACCCGCACAGGCACTCGCAGACAATACAGGCTGATAACAGACATGTTACACAGGCACTCGCAGACAGTACAGGCTGATAACAGAATACACGTTACACAGGCATAACAGACACAGGCACTCACAGGCGTTACACGGGCACTGCAGACAATACAGGCTGATAACAGACACGTTACACAGGCACTCGCAGACAGTACAGGCTGATAACAGACACGCTACACAGGCACTCACAGACAACACAGGCTCGTGAGATAACAGACAGACATTACACAGGCACTTTCGCAGACAATACAGGCTGATAACAGACACATTTACACAGGCACTCACAGACACGCTACACAGGCACTTGCAGACAATACAGGCTGATAACAGACACGTTACACAGGCACTCGCAGACACAGTACAGGCTGATAACAGACATTACACAGGCACTCACAGACACGTTACACAGGCACTCGCAGACAATACAGGCTGATAACAGACACGTTACACAGGCACTCACAGACAATACAGGCTGATAACAGACACGTTACACAGGCACTCACAGACAATACAGGCTGATAACAGACACGTTACACAGGCACTCACAGACACGTTACACAGGCACTCGCAGACAATACAGGTTGATAACAGACACGCTACACAGGCACTCACAGACAATACAGGCCAATAACAGACATAACACTCACAGACAATACAGGGCAATAGCAGACATGTACCAGTTCTAACAATTTACAATACAGGCTGATAACAGACCGCTACACAGGCACTCACAGACAATAAAAGCAACACACTGACATGTGCCAGTTCTAACAATTTATAATTGACCACCATAGCTGCACCTACTAAATTTCACCTGCTCAACCAACTAAAAGCAACACACTGACATGCATAAACTACTAACTACTACTACTATGACCACCACTACTAATACTACTACTAAATACTACTACTAAATACTACTACTACTAACACTACTACTACTACTACTACTAAATACTACTACTACTACTACTACTACTACTACTACTACTACTACTACTACTACTACTACCACCACCACTACTACTACAAACTACTACTACTACTACTGTCTTACCTTCATTTCACCATGGTCGTTGGTGTAGTTGACCGGCTGACAAGAATAACTATAATTTAACTTTGTTGAATACCATAGAAGCTGAAACAGGAAAGAAATTACTTTGCAGTCATAAATATAATAAAAAAAACAATATCTCAACATTACTGCACAAACAATTTCATTTCTATAAACAGTGCATACAATTTTCTTCACATTGGTACAAAGTGAAACTATAATGTTGTTCTGATCTAAGACTAGGACTGTTGTCTTCTTAACACATGCCAATACTGAAACATGCATTACTATAGAAATAAGAGATGATTTAATGACTATATTTCCACTACATTGCTCATGTAATATTAGCTTTATGTGTGAGCAATGACAGACTTCTTCAAGTCTCTAAAATCCACAAATTATTGACACAAACTTACCTGTGAGCATATATGAAAGTTCATCACAATTAAACCAAAATTGTAGAAAAATAACGTCCATTTGAATTTAAACGGCTCTCTGTCTTTCATTATTTTTGGCCCAACCCATACTGCAAACAAGTACAATGCTGTGATGGCTAGTGTGGGTGTGTAGCTTTGCATTAAAAACCAGTCCTTGACTCGGTCATCTGGAAAAGAGCAGAAAAACACACATCACACACACAATAAATATTACCGCTGATAACCCAAATAAAATACTTGATAGCAATGCACATTTTAAGCCCATGTCTTACTAATGGATTCTGCTTTAGTGTGTTAGACATAACGTGTGTTTCATAAGTGTGGAAAGATCAAACAGCATTTCAGCTGCAATAATGGTGTACAGTGGCCATACAGAGGCAGGCGTCAACTGTATTTGAAGAACATCCAGTTAAAGAGATCAATAAATTTTTCAATCCAATGGGCTCAAAAGCTTTCTACTTTTCAGCCCATGTACTGAATAACAAAGGAGGCTTAAAAATGTGCAGCCTTTGTACACTCTTTTCACTAATTTAGGGTATGTGACCCTTACGTTTTTACATAAACCAAACAATTTTAAAACAAATGGACTCGTCAATTAAAAAGTCTACAACCATTCAATTAAACGCCAATAATTAGGATTTTAATCTATCCAAGAGAAAATAACAAATGTACCCTGAAAAGATTTGTTCCGTTAGTGGCACATGTCAATAAATTAATTAGTACAATGAGCATTAGTTTATGATAACGTGAAGTAACACCAGAAACCTGTACTCCAAACACAGTGGGGAATAATACTTCTTTTATTTATGGATCAGAAAATTGATTCAATTTCAAAGTAAGTGCCCTCCCCCCTCCCCTCATGTCATGTACAAAATCAATTACCCCTCGCCCCTTTCCCATAATTTTAAAGCATTATTTTTTAATATAATTAATATAATTATGTACAAAATTGCAGACCCCCTAGTACATGTGTACAGAATTGCTGACCCCCACCTCCCCAGAACAAAATGGGTGATCCCCTTCCTTCTCCTCACCCCACCCTCCCCCAACCACCTTAAAATCACTATCATCCCCTAGCCATAAATTATGAATCGTCCCCAAGTGAATAAATCTGCCCATATACAAACACGCTATTTCTTGTCAGGATGTTCAGTAAGTGCACATTGTGAAATGGGAACACAATATGTCTCAATAATGGTGTTACAGACACACAACACCAACCTGTTCGTGTTAGTGCCCATGCATAGAACTTCTGAAAATGTTCAACTTTATCTGTAATCAGCTCCATCTTGATCAACCTGTAACCAAAACACAACACCATGAGTAAACATTTAATGAGACTCCACACACATTCCATAGATAATAATTCATAACAAAAGTCCACAAATCTTTTATAAATGTTATTATCATAGAAAGAAGCTCACATATTTTTTTGCAGCACACAGCAACTCATATCAATAAAAATAACATAAATCCAACTGCTGTTTAAAAGAATAAACCTAAAATGTGAATTAGATTACAATGTAATTCATTCGTAAATAAATTCCCTACTTGACAATGTAAAACTGTTTTATGTCAGCATTCCCCCCCTCGTAGCGTACAATATTGATCAAATAAACCACCTTTCTTAAACCATGTGCCTCACTATCAAACCACATGTCCTGGCCTGCCAAGTCCTTGCTCACGTTCAACCTTTGAACTGTTTTAAGCTGTGTTTTGGGGTAGTATTTTAGCAACAGGCATGACACTCGACATCAAAGAAAAGAGGTCACGGTTCCAGATCTTGTTCGGGCTTGAAAACATGGCATGGCCAGGCATGCATGTTTACACCAGAGGATGAATGACTGCCATGTTGCCAGGGGCAACAGGGTTTTAGGTACCATACAGATCAGAGAAGGAATGCACGGTTGAGTGGTCAATAACACAAGGTAGCGAATACTCTCTCCTTGTTGCCCTAACATCCACACAATACACACTGATTGAGTGGTTTACATATATATCAATATTTGAGTAGCTCTTGCTCCCTTCAAACCTTAGCCACCTAATATTAAATTGTTTACAAAGAAACGAGTGATTAGAAGCAACTTATAAGATTACTGATATGAGAACAGAATTTGATACTTTCATAAATAGGTTTATACCATTGAGTGACACATATCTATACTATCTTTCCAATGTCATTTCTCCGCTGAGTTTCAGACATTGTTATACATACTGTGTGGGACACTTTGTTTCTGTGTAATTATGTAATCATTGCCATTTTTAACTGCTAAATTGATTTACATGACAACATTTCAGACAAAGCAGTCTTTGAAAGACTCAAACGTACTCTGACTGCCAAACATTCAGAGTCCCTTTAAGAAATATCCTAAGGTTAGAGAACAATAAAGACATTTTTCTGACAGAGAGGACAACACTGGCAAATAATATCTTATTTGTCCTTTAATACATAGAATGTCTGAAATATGACCACTGCATAGTTAAACATGACATACATAGTTAAATCTTCAATTCCTCTCAACAGTAGGACATACACTAGTACAGTATTGTTTTAGAACCTTCTCTTCTTCAGGCTATGTGTAAAACCAACAAGCATTCTGTTCTCACCTGGACATAACAGAACACAGTGATCCATCAATATTCAGTGATCCATCAATATTCGGTATTGAACTGTCTATATTTATTCCAGTGGCCTATTATAGCACTGGTAATTAAATAATTTATAATGTATGCCAGATACCTCTGCTCTTACGGCTTTGAATCAAACAAATGTATTATGTACAATTTCTCATATCACTACTAAACTGTCCTAGAATCACATGGCCCAGGTGAAGAGTAGGGGAAGCCCCAACAGATTGTGACTGCAAGAATCTGTACTCTTGTGATTAAAACATATGTATCGTGGCAGTGACATGTAAGGAACAAAAACAGTTTGCATCATACTGGTTTGAGGCTGGTTAAAATGACTGATAATTGTAATTATTAAGAATTAGTAACAAATATTTACATGAAAATTGTGTCATTATGAAATAAACTTCAATTTACACAAACAAAACTAACAGATATCTCTTTATTCATATGCCACTTCTAAAGTGTGTACAGAATGCTGTTTTGTCAGAACCGATGCATATATGTGTCACCATTCACCAGCTAGGTAAAATATTTTGATTTTGTAAATTGGAACCTTTTTGCTTTCTCTTATACGTCTTTATCAATCATCAATCAATATTTAGGTCATAATTATCAATTACTATAACCTATTTTGATAGCGGGCCATATACTGGTTCTAATTGTTCTTGCAAACTATGATGGGAAATTTATTATTTTACTCAAAAGGCTTTGAATCTATGGCCCAAACACATTGATTGTGTGGTATTGAAGGCTGGGTTTATATGGACATTTTGATGGGTACAGCTTCTAAACAAGAACAGTACAAGAAACAAGGCACAGATATTATTAAAATGTAACTCTCAGATAGGGCTGGGACGATTCACTGATGCATCGTGATACATTTAAGTTTGATACAGCTATCGTATCGCCGACTGGTGTATCGATACAAAATGATACACAAGTTTTTTTTCAAAACAGTATTATCTTAAACATGTTACAGTACTTATTTAGAGAAACATATGCAAGTATGATAGAGTTACTTGTTTGATTATTACAATAGTGTTATTGTTAAACACAAATACCTTGAAATAAATCATTTTAAATCTTGATACCGTTTCATTCTTTCAAAGTGTATGTATCGTGATACGTATCGTATCGCAGGTAAAATATCGCGATATGTATGGTATCGTGACACAGTGTATCGTCCCAGCCCTACTTGCTTTTCACCTGCATATTCACTGCTTCACTTAAATGTGTTACATCATCCAACCATGTTTTGTTATATTCAATATCATCTTTTCTGATACTCTGCATTCCATTTCAGTTGTTAACTGCTTGCCCATAACAATTATCCTATTTGATACAATTCACACACAAGAGTCGTTGGTCAACAAAAACTCAAAACACTTCATTTTGTTTCAATAGCATACAGATAACTCATCAAGATTATCAGAAAACATTGTGAAATTCACATTCACTACTGTGCAGATTAATGCTGTACAGCCAGGTACTTTACTTCCTCAATAGATCTCTTCCCAGATCTCTTATTGTAGTAATCTACATGTTACTATTAACATGGTTTAACACTTATGGGTCAGCCATCTATGACATTTAGGACAATTACTAATATGATATTAACTTTGTCATAAAATATCTCTACACTTGGTAGATTATTCAAACATATAACTTCAATGTCTTTCATCATCACCATCAATGGATTGAACTGTCAGAAACATGTGTATATATACCAAGCTAAATGATTTTCTTGTAAGTTGTATTCATTTGATTTTGCAAATTTTCCAATGTATGTCATTAGTATGTAATCTGCTTATATTATCATTAATGAATGTGTGCATATACACATGAATAAAAGGTTGAAATGGACTACAAGTCTGCTTTAACTATACAACATACCAAAACTTAGGTTAATTTAATAATTCACCAGAGTTCTGCACAACGTGTATCAGGATATGGAATGGTGTCACGCATAAGTAATGCCATTGTGAAACACATATGTTGAAATTGAATCTAACACAGAATGGGGGCACGCCCACAAATCAGGAATGCGTTTTTTAGGAATAAAATAGGTTGGAAACGGAAATCAAGTGCATCACATTGGATAATAAACGTATGTTTCATTATGACTGAAAGCGCTAACTGATATGCATGGCAGATCGCGACGTATCTAAGAGTGTGCATGGTCTAAATAAACAAACTGAACCGAAGCGTCCATGCTGGTTCGCGAGGTACTCGAGATCGGTGATCGGAGTATGTGGGGACTCACCTCTGTTGCTGGAGCGAATGAAATTTCTGTTCTGTTGAAATTGAAGTATCTTAGGTCTTTTCTACCAACTGATGCTGATCTCAATTGGCCGTAATGCGTGTACAGACAAGGCAAATGCCATTGAGGTTGCTACCAACAACAACTAATACAAACTTCACGCACCTACAAACAACTATGGCACCGGTCAAATAACCAATGACAATGGATGTTACACGATAACGCACCGCTTGTGTATCTAACGTTCATTTTCATTGGCTCATGCTGGGACAGCACGTTTGGAGGAATTCCATTTATCATTAGCCAATGAGCATCGCTGTAAATGAATCCATCATTGGAGATATTTTCTTAAGTTAAATGTGATTGGCTCTTACCGGAGGAAGTGTCCGGTGAATCCCAGTCTGGAGAAGTGACCCCTAACCTCGTGTAAATCAACACATTTCAGTATCCAGGCACCGCATCAACCCTGACTGTTCATCATTGCTGTAAGTACTCTTTGTGCATGATAATTGTCTCCAAACACGAATATTGCCATATGTGGTTTTTACTTTATCGAAAATTGTTCATTGAAAACTCCAGGCGCTGTATCTGCAAAGGTCATTTTGCACATGACTTTAATGCATGATGATCGATTTACGGTTCCACCCTATTAATTGGACAATCTAATGATTAGGCGATTACTATATAACTGTTTTTCAGTAGTGTCAATGTAGTTCTCAACATATGCTATACGCCACTTCACGCTGTCCTTTAACAGATCAAGTGATCTACGTTATCAGGATCGCTACAAGGATCAACCCTCTGCCAATATAGGGGAAAACCACACTCACCCGACTAGGCCAAGATCGTGGTACGACTACGAGTCTAAAGTCCAGAGCATGATAGCTGTTATACGTGAACTTTAATTGATATTTGCGTTGTGCATTCTCGGCGAATTGCAGAGTGATCGCAATCTTTGATCGGATGACAGGCACCTCATTTAAATACCCCCAATACCCTAAGTGTAAAGAAATACTCAAGTGAAGTGATCATCAAGAAAAAGTGATATTGGTAAGGGCATGTTCTACCTTTGAATTTTAGGTTTGCTTTACTATGCGCATTGTGGTTGAAGTATCTGCAAGTGATTGAGCTTTTTTGTTAAAATATCTTAATAGTGTTTTTGAAATGAAAGTTACATCTTAAATATTATTTTAATACCCAATACAGTCATCTGTTACATGTTTGCCTCTATTGTAGTTTCGTTCTGTTCCATTACCCATTTTGACTGATCCAGGTATAGACATTATGTACATATGAACAAATATCTATAACATCTATGGTAAAGTATGGGATGAGTGAAATTAAGAGTAAGTAAATAGTAACTGGTACGCTTTATACAGTCTTAATGTAAGAGTGTTTTGGGTCTTTTTATGTTTCAGCACAGAGGATATGTTTTTGTATGGTTTTCAGTTAGCATTGATGCATATATTTAAAAAAAATACTCTTAAGCCTGTCCACATGTTCAGTATTTTCCATTTATCTGTCCAGAAAATGTATATAAGTATAGAGTAATGACTTGTTTCTTATAATAAACACCACAACAGGGCATTTTGATTGAAACTGAGGTTTCTAAGTATCAGTACTCTTGCAGCACTAATTCTTATGCCATTATTATTTCAACCTGGTCATCAGCTTATGATACTGGGAATGTTTATCACTGGTTTCATAAAATCTGTGTTTTTGCCAATGCAAACAGTTAAAACAGGTTCTCTTTATGTCTGATAATGTCAGAAAAATATATCAGCACATAATTGACATCAGTGTTGAACTGACATCAAAAAGTATTCATTCAATGCCTAATTCTTTTTGAAGAACTTTCTAATTTTTGTTATTGTCAGTGACTTATGTTGGTTTACAGCTAGTTATGAAAACATTTGTCTTTAAATGCCAACAAAACAATTAGATTTATTAGAATAACAATGGCAACTAATCAATGCTAATTAGGCAATTGTACAAGATAGAAGTGATTAGTGTGGGTATTGTTAATGTCACCTGGATCATCAGTTAATTACCTGAGTTAACGAGCTGTTTTGTTGTCCCTGTTTCAGTTATACAGTATGTCACAAGAGAGCATTTAATGATGGAAACAGGAAAATCTGTTTAGTATTTACAGGTTTGATCAAATCAATGTGTGACATGTTTGCATACATCTTGGAAGTACAGAAACTTCCGCCTGTATTTAAAGGATCTAAAGTGTATATATATGCTGACAGGATAAATCTCATCAATATTTCAAGGATTTGTATACAGTACCTCAAGCCCTAAGCTAGTCTGTCTCACAGTCCCAGAAACATATTATTTTCCCTACAGCCTAGCCCTCCCTGCAATGCTAAAGCCCTAAATGAAGCAATCTAATTTCCTCATGTTCTAAATCTCTGGTCTCCCTAGGGTTCCTTTTCAATTTAAATGGGTTTATTTGATGCAATCAGAACTGTATATATTCAGGGACTGAGCGTTAGTCAACCCCTGCCACTCTCCACACTGCTTAGTATCACAGAACAGTTAGGATTGCAGAAAGTCCAGCTCAGTGTGGGTCTTATTTGACTTCCAGTAAAACAGGGTCTCATAGCTTGACTTATACACTAGTGTTTACTACACTGCAGTTCCACCCTTTATACGTAGGCGATGGAGGTACATATACATAGTGTATCCAAACCTGAGAATTATTTACAATGAAATGACTGTAATGACTGGTTTCAGTCACATGAAGTCTGCACCACAGCCTCCATTCTGAGTAATGACAGAACCATGCTTACAGACACCGATACCGATACCGATGGTTTAGGTCCAGTGTTTATGGTGATGAATTTAAGGTTCACACCAGCCCAGATTTGACAATAAGTAATTAATGAGCTATAAGGGTCAACACAGCTTAGATTTTAATGTTGCCATGGTTATGGACAACTTGCCATGGTTATAGACAGATTGTAGCGGTGAGGTAGCCTAGTTGTTAAAGGGAATCTTGCTAAAAGTGGTGTAAAACCAAACTCACTCAATTATAAACATATTAAACAGAACTGGTATTTTGAATTTGAGTTTATCAAACATACGTGCAAACCAAACCTTGACACAAACATTTCAAACAAAGATATCCTGTTTGACAACATTAATGTTGAGTGACCAGCTTACAAGCAGAGCCTGACTGACATGCAGCATAAACATTGTCATAACTATTATACTCATCTGATCATTGTGAGGGCAAACTATCTGTAGACACTGCAAGTCAGCAAAATGTCAACCATTTTATGTTTATAACACTTAACAGTGTCATTATAGAGATTGAAATTTTGCATGAATATATTAATTTGTATTTATATGTTGAAAAGGTGTAGTTTGTAAGTACCCTTGAATGTGTATTTAAACTAGTATGGACTCTTCTGTGTCTGAAAAAAATGTAATTTTTGTCTAAAGCAAAAAGTAAAAATGCCATTATTATATATATCCTTAATTTGTAACTGAAATGCAATCATTGTAGAAATTTGCAACAAATATGCACCATTCATCCATACAATCATTTTATACACCATACACCATAAACCCTTGCAGATACTGAAACAGATTTCACTAATTTCCACTCTATTTTCAAATTGTATCTGAACATTGTGTCATAATATGTAGGTGATGATTTGTCCGTAACTGTTTAGTTTACAATTTCTTGAACATTGTTTGTCAAATCCAAATGGGTATGATGAAATTCACACTTTGCATACAAGACATTCCATTTCGCATACTGTATCAGCTTCCTGTCTTACTGAATTGAATGCATACAACCTAATCAGTGATAATACATTTGAGTGCAAGTACAATAAAAATATGCATCAAAGTTAACATTTTGATAATGAAACCTCTGGTGTAAGACTTCAACTATCAATTTCAAAACAAACTGACAAAACACACTCTCAAATGAACAATCAGCTGCTCTACCACTTCGCTTTGGACGAATCAGGTGGTGATTATTGCAATATAGGCATCCCTGATGTTTCATGAAATGACAGAACAAATATTTCAGGCAGGGTATGAAACTACCAAAAATTTCAGCCAGACCACAGGGCTGTTTAGATGTAAAACTTGCCAGCCCTGACCAAAACTTACCTGCCTGCAAATAATTTAGGTTTGACATCCAATTTAGCTTATCATCCATTATTGGAATTCATCATTTACTTTACGAATGAATTATTAATGATTTATTATCCTGAAATATGATGAATATCTTCATATACATTTCTAAATTTTAACCTGACCGACGGGAATCTGGCAGTCCGTGTTGAAAATAACCCGTCCAGGGCGGTCGGGCAGTCAGGTATTTCGATTGCTGTTTGAGGACACAACACTAGATATATCATTGTTTAAGGGAAAAGATATCCTGTTTTCACACCAGCGTGAACGTTACCAATAAAAGTGAAGGCTACTCTTAACTGTCTGTAAGTGTAATAGTAACAAGTTTAGCTCACATCACGCATACGTGTGCTGTCAGTTTAGGTTGGACCGTCCAGATCAGCGCACCTAGTGGGTTAGCGAAGGGAAGATAATTTGAAAAAGATCGCAAATTATATGGAAAGTTGTTACATTGCTTAAAAGTATAAATATGTATGAAACTGTAAAATAAAAGTGAGTATATACTATTGGAAATAAAGCTCTCAGCTGGTAACATTTCATACATAATGATATGATGTGCATAAGAAAGAGACAAATGCAATTACATTCTTATTAGTTATAAACCATATAAAAGTATATTTATTGGGATATTAGTCTGCTGTTATGCGGCTCCATGATTACTGCATATCGTATATCAACATATTCAAATGATCTTGTGATTCTGGGTATACAACTGCTAAGGACAACCTCAAATTAAAAGCATTTAACACATAGCTTCAAGCCTGGGGAGATGAGAGCTATTCAAGAGCAAGTTTACATTGGCATTGGCACATTATAAACGGAGGCATCTAAAGACACTGTAAGTTGTTGTTTCATTAACATATGATCCTCGATCTGAATCAGAGATGCTCCCTGATTATGTTTATAAGTTTGTCGATGCCATGTCTGTGCTCATGACTTTCACCAATCTGGTGAACATGAAAACCCTGTATCACTGTTAATAAGTGAAATACTGTCCTGATGAAGTCGTTTACACACTCACACACAATCTAGTGTTGAATATTTAAACATGGAAAGTCTGAATAATACCCAATTTAATGAAGTTTCTGTCAGCATTCATGTACTTATATGGCATAAAGCATTTCTGGTGTCCCCCGCCGTGATGTTGCTGGAATATTGCTAAAAGCGGTAAAACCAAACTCAGTCAGTCAGTCTATGGCATAAAGGGGTGGTGGGGTAGCCTAGTGGTTAAAGCGTTAGCTTGTCACACCGAAAACCCGGGTTCTATTCCCCACATGGGTACAATGTGTGAAACCATTTCAGGTGTATCATGCTGTGATATTGCTAGAATCCTCCTAAAGCGGCATACAACTAAACTCACTCACTCATGCTTTGGCGTAAAGAATACATCCTAACTTTTACATAGTCAAGCCAGGATCTGCACTCACCTCAACTTTGTTGGCTATTTCATCACCATATCTATACATGAGCATGAGTGTAATCATGGGATAGCTCCAGTATATTTCACACCAGGCTTTTTACCCTTAATAAACTGACATGCTGTGGTATAACTTAAGCATGACAAGTGTAGTTAGAAGTTTCAACACTTTTCTGGTCAGCCATGGCAACAAGGCAAATTAGTGTTGAATATAACTGGTCTTGTTAAAAATACAAGTCAGGACTATAGATTGTCTTCCTTCTGATTACTTATGATTTATACCAGAGGAAAATATCAGTACTTTGACCATGCCCAGATACTGCTACATACAATTTATGCAGCAGGTGTCAGCAGGGGTTATCAGGTGCCCCACAGCACTTCTGACGACAACCAGTCTCGTCACACAAGCTTTTATGCTTATCTCAGGAACAAGGATTAACTGTTTATGCCTGCTTTGATTCCATGATAACCTGTGTATTTTATCAAATCTGCAACCAAAAACACCACAAACTGAATTAATTTTGGTTTGTTGGTATACATATATGCATGGAATGTTTCAAAAAGAAAATAACAGCAAAACTGTGTAACCAAAATAAAGAACAAATTACATTTCACACATACGCCTTTCCAGGTGTTTGTTTATTGTCTACTTGTCGCTAATAGATGGCAACTAAGTAAAAACCCAAATTTGGTAGTGATAGTTTCTTTGGTTATTCAACATGTTTGAAACTTCATTTGTCCTAAAGCCCAGTCTATTTGATACTTTTTAGACCAGATGAAATCGTTTCTTAAAAATATTCCGCTTAAAAAGCTGTCTGGCATGTGTGAGGTGACTTTTAATTTGCATCTGATCATGTATGTATGTCACATGTTACAAAACATTAACAAGCAATACCTGTCTGAGTTTGAATAGGTGAGATTCCCCTGGTGAATTATTCATTTCAGTATTTACTGTAGATTTATATAGGAGATAGCTTTGAGCAGGTCTCAGTCGGCTTACAAACTACACAACTGACTGGAGTGAGTGAGTATGGTTTCACACCGTTTTTAGCTATATACCAGCAGTATCACAGTTGGGGCGGACAACACAAAAGGGCCTCACACATTGTATCATGTGGGGAATCAAACCTGCATCTTCGGTGTGACGAGCCAACACTTTAACCACTAGGCTACCCTACTGCCTCCAGCAGACTGGAACCAAAGGAGCTGAAAACATCGTCTGGAGTCCCAGAGTGTGTTGAGCAGTCAAAAATGTAATTATTAAGGATCATTAATTTGGGAGAAGAGACAATTGACGTTAACTGATTATCCATGCAAAATCATACTTTATAAATTTTCTATGATCTGATGAAATATCACAAAATACTAATGAAACAAACATTCATTGTTAGAATATCGATCCTGCCATTAAAATTTGTAAAGCATTGTATTATAAAGAGTTATATATTAACCCACCTAATAACATGTATAAATAGTTATTAGGTACAGAGAACATGCATAATAAGTTTTCGATATACTAAGTATGTGCATTTTATTTCGGTTGATGGCTTGGATCGTTCACTTAATTCACTGCGGACAGATTATCCATAATTCCTTATGGTCATTGGTTATTTATAATCATTAATTTACTGGTCGGGAATTGAAGTACAGTATTCACTAGCCCCATTCAGGAAACATTGGCATGATGGCTGACAGAGGAAATGCTTAACATTAGGTATAATGGATCAGATATGGTGCCATGATTTACCCGTACATCCGTTACTATCCGAGCATGATGATTCTATATCTCTGAAGATACATGTGATGTGACTAGTCATGCATAGAATTAGTTTAATTCCATATAAGTTTTCCAAAAGTATTCTTAATATCCCAGTCTTATTCCTGGGCAGCCTGCATTATAAAGTCACCATGATTAGACAGTCAGATCAGGGCCGCATTAACTGGCCATGTGACTTATACATAACCTCCTATGGCAACAGCCTCTTGTTAGCTGGGACAATAGAACATGGAGCATTTCATGCAAAAACAGATTATTATTATTATCGTCATATTGGATCAGGATTTTAAGTGTTGCTGTGTGTAAGAATACATGAAGTAGGCATAGCATGACAAAGAATTTTGCGTAATTTTCATGAACAGTTCAGTTGTGAACATGGTGAACTCGTTCAACTGCAGCTTTGATTAAAATGATTCATTTTCATTTTCAAAGATCTTTTCCTGAAGAACAGGGAATGATGCACATGAATAAATAATCCTGCAATATAGTTATATGTGAATATTGTGAAGTATTATTATGCATGCAAAGAGGCCATTAGTTAAAAATAAGATATGGAATTACCCAACTGAAACTGCAGGAAGCTTTTGGATGCAATGATATACCGGTACTCTGTATTTCTTTTGCATCTGCATATATTTTTTATATATTTTATTTCTGGGAGTATGGAATGCCAGATTTTGTGTAAATTCCTGGTTGTGTCTCTGTAGCCCAGTATTTAAAATGACACTTTGACATTGTGTTGACTTGACTTTGACAAGTGACAGGGTAACAAAGGTTGTTAAAACTGTCTGATGGACGGTTGTCAGTGAATCCTGTCACTTATTATGACTTATCCGTTTATAATATGTTTTCAATACAGTCACACTTACTTGTAAAAAACATTAACCTAAATGTTACCAAATGTTAACAGACCATGGTTCTTTAACGTTAGCTGTTAACACTTTTGTTAATTCTTTTACTGTATAAAAATAATGGTGCAGATTTTGCAGAACTATTTTAGAGAAATGAAGTGAAATTTCTAATTTTGTATTTTGATGTAAGAAAGGATAATTATTTGTATGAAAATGTCACGAAAAAAAAAAATATCATAGATGTTAGGAAAGATATTACATGTTTAAATCCGTTATTTTTGATAATGATAGCAGAACAGACCAGTGTTAATATCTGGGCAGCATCATTGACTCATAACTCACATGGGATGCAAACAGGTATGTAAGGGTCAACAGAGGTTTGAGGCAGTGGGGTAGCCTAATGGTTAAAGCGGGTCCGCCCACCACGCTGAAGACCTCGGTTCGATTCCTGATATGGGTACAATGTAAGAAGCCTATTTCTGGTGTCCCCACCATGATATTGCTGGAACATTGCTAACAGCGGTGTAAAACCATACTCACTCACTCACTCAAAAGTGGTTGTTTTCTATGTTGTTTAAGACATTTTCAGATTGACTCTACCTTCATGTCATGTTTTTTAAAACACTGTTATCTGTTCACTGATTTGCTGATGCTGAGAACAAACAGGGCCTGGGTTGTATTCATGAATGCTAGTACAAAGTTTTTGTGATCATAAATTGTTGATCATCCTTTTGTTGGTGACTCATTTAATCTATATTATATGTGTGACCTCCTTATTTCCTTGTGCTGATGTAACCCATGTTTCCGTGGTGATGATAAAGTGTTATCTTGTCACTGCTTGTTGACAGAATGTATTCTGTAGGGATCATACAATGATTGTATGTCAAACAGTATATGTACACTTACATTTGCCACAATTGGACGTCCCTTCAATTTACTGGCCCAAGCCATACTATACCTTTGTCCAGTTCATAATTGAGAAAAGAAATGTTGGTTATGCCTCCATCTTGGAACAAGGTCGTTGTGCTGCATGGTGTTCCCACTTGTAATGGGGTGACCGTCCCGGGTACACATTACAGCCACTACTGGTCAAGTACTGGTCAGTGTGGTCATGTCAGGGAAACAGAGTCGTTCTTCAAGAAGGGCACTAATTAATCTGGGCGGTGGGGTAGCCTAGTGATTAAAGGGTTCGCTCATCACACGGAAGACCTGGGTTTGATTCCCGACATGGGTACAATGTTTGAAACCCATTTCTGGTGTCCCCTTGCCATGACATTGCTGGAATATTGCTAAACGCGGCATAAAATCAAACTCATTCACTCACTACTTTTTTAGTATGTTCCTCAACAACATCAACCACTTGTAATTTGATTCTTTACCATGACATATAATGTGTGGGGATATAGTCAACGCCTATGAAGTGTGTGTCCGTCCGTCCTAAATAATTTCATTTCCGGAGCGTAACTGAAAAGAACAAAAATTTGTATATGTATCAAACAGAACCTGAAGTGGTGCCTTTTGAGCTAACTCAAAAATTGCTCAATATCTATCAATAAAACTTGGCAGACATATGATACAGATCCCAAAGTAGTGCCTTTTGCTATTTGCGGATTTTTGGCATTTTTTATTTTTCTTGTTTTCCATTGAAACGAATCAGACTTAGTCTCAAAAGGGAGGGATGGGCTTCGTTTCTGGAGCACAACTTGAAAGCCGTTCAGTATCTTTCTACAACTACAAGACTTGGCAGATATATCAAACAGATCTTGAAGTGGTGCCTTCTGCTATTTGCAGATTTTTTGCGTTTATATTTTTCTTTCATGATTTCCATGGAAACGATTTGGACTTAGTCTAAAGGACTTTAAGTAACTCTCAGATGATTTGTTCTTTCAAATTTGTGGGGGCCGGGGGGATTTATCATCTTCTGATGACTCTTGTTTGTATTTTACAGCCGTCCTAAAGTGGTGACCTTGACCTTGATCTAACCATGGCAGCCCTTACAGCGCTAATGGACAAATATACATGGGTCATGACCGAGTTGAGAGGTAAGGACATCATGTTTTAAAAATGTAGAGGATATCTGAAGGTGTGTAAAAAATATGTTCAATGTTCTTCAGGCAGGAGTTTCAGTATTGTTTAGCAAACCCACTTGTAGATAACCTTATGTGATTTATGACATGAGGTGGTTGATAGCCTGGTGCTAAAAGCATTCACTCCTAACACTAAACCATGGTTATAATAATGCTAGCAAGAGCTATATACCAGTGTTCTTCATTCTTAATTCATTAATAAGATGAAAATGAATGATGTCTCAAATTATGTGACTGGGTGTTTTGCTTCTTTTATTCTCTCTGTAACATATACAAAGCAGCAATTGTTTAATATATTGTTTTTATGTAGTAATACATTCTTGAGTTGTTTACCGTGTTAATGTGTTTACTGACAGCTGATTGACAGACTGAGTACGAGTCCACTGGAGAGTTACATATGTTATATTAGGGATTACACTTTCTCAATAAAGTACAGATTCTAGTACTTTCGTTAGGTTAAGTCCCATACAGGATTCAAACTCACACCCTCAGAGTCAGGCACCTAATCGCCAGCACACAAAGTCAGCCATCTAACCCGCTCAGCCACCGATGCTTCCAACAGAAGTACTAGAATCTGTACTTTACTGACAAAGTGTAATCCCAAATATATCATATGTTACATTTGACCACTTTCCTAAAATGGGATTGTCTATTCATTGAAGAGTTATTGTTAACACACATTGTTAACCTCTGATCTGTGTTACCTGTGATGCTGAATCTCTTGTAGTGGAGATATGGAGATGGTAACTAATATCTCAACTGTAGTAAATAACCATGGTAACTGTTTGTGATGTTTACGTTTTTGTATTACAACACAATAGTAACTGATATCTATGCTGTTTTAGAAAATAACCGTGGTAACTGTTTATGGTATCTGTGTTGTTGTAGATGTTAATCAGGTGACTAATATTCCTGCTGTAGTAGTGTTACGTGAGCTTCTTTCCTTTAGAACGCTGCCATTTTTCTTTCTACCTCACGTCACTCTCTTACCTAAAATACTATTTTCCTAAAGCAAACGTTTATGCAAAACCAATTAACAGTGAGCTACTACTGAAACATTGTTCTGTGACAATTTCTGAACTAGCAAGCATATCTTTGATTAAAAACAAAATAACTAGCCAATAAAATGTATGTTACATGACAGTAGAAGATCACCATGGTAACTGTTCATAGCATATATACTGTAAGTAACTGTGATATCTGATATCGGTGTTTTTGTAGACCCTCGGACGGATGGATGGTTTATGATGGAATCTGTGTGGCCGACGGTGGCTGCAGTGTTGGTGTATCTTGTTGTTGTTGCCTGGGGTAGCAGGCTGATGTCCAATCGCCCAGCCTTCAAGGTCAACAACCTCCTCGTGGCGTACAACTTCCTCCTCATGCTGCTGTGTATGTACCTGTTTGTTGAGGTAATCCAACTTCTTCCTCATGCTGCTGTGTATGTACCTGTTTGTTGAGGTAATCCACCACTTGCACATTTTTTGTTAGCAGGATCTTGTTAACCAAGTCATCTAAGGAGGCACATTTTTTAGAGTTGCCTCCATTAGCAGTGTCAGATCTTGTTAACCCTCCATTTTAGCATTAGCGGTGTCAGGATCTTGTTAACCAAGTCATCTAAGGAGGCACATTTTAGACAGGCACAGAGTTGCCTCCATTAGCGGTGTCAGGATCTTGTTAACCAAGTCATCTAAGGAGGCACATTTTAGACAGGCACAGAGTTGCCTCCATTAGCGGTGTCAGGATCTTGTTAACCAAGTCATCTAAGGAGGCACATTTTAGACAGGCACAGAGTTGCCTCCATTAGCGGTGTCAGGATCTTGTTAACCAAGTCATCTAAGGAGGCACATTTAGACAGGCACAGAGTTGCCTCCATTAGCTGTGTCAGGATCTTGTTAACCAAGTTATCTAAGGAGGCACATTTTAGACAGGCAGATCTTGTTTGTTATCTAAGGAGGCACATTTTAGGCACAGAGTTGCCTCAGGATCAGGATTGTTAACCAAGTCATCTAAGGAGGCACAGTTTTTAGACAGGATCTTGTTAACCAAGTCATCTAAGGAGGCACATTTTAGACAGGCACAGAGTTGCCTCCATTAGCGGTGTCAGGATCTTGTTAACCAAGTCATCTAAGGAGGCACATTTTAGACAGGCACAGAGTTGCCTCCATTAGCGGTGTCAGGATCTTGTTAACCAAGTCATCTAAGGAGGCACATTTTAGACAGGCACAGAGTTGCCTCCATTAGCGGTGTCAGGATCTTGTTAACCAAGTCATCTAAGGAGGCACATTTTAGACAGGCACAGAGTTGCCTCCATTAGCGTGTCAGGATCTTGTTAACCAAGTCATCTAAGGAGGCACATTTTAGACAGGCACAGAGTTGCCTCCATTAGCGGTGTCAGGATCTTGTTAACCAAGTTATCTAAGGAGGCACATTTTAGACAGGCACAGAGTTGCCTCCATTAGCTGGTGTCAGGATCTTGTTAACCAAGTCATCTAAGGAGGCACATTTTAGACAGGCACAGAGTTGCCTCCATTAGCGGTGTCAGGATCTTGTTAACCAAGTCATCTAAGGAGGCACATTTTAGACAGGCACAGAGTTGCCTCCATTAGCGTGTGTCAGGATCTTGTTAACCAAGTCATCTAAGGAGGCACATTTTAGACAGGCACAGAGTTGCCTCCATTAGCTGTGTCAGGATCTTGTTAACCAAGTTATCTAAGGAGGCACATTTTAGACAGGCACAGAGTTGCCTCCATTAGCGTGGTGTCAGGATCTTGTTAACCAAGTCATCTAAGGAGGCACATTTTAGACAGGCACAGAGTTGCCTCCATTAGCGGTGTCAGGATCTTGTTAACCAAGTTATCTAAGGAGGCACATTTTAGACAGGCACAGAGTTGCCTCCATTAGGTGTCAGGATCTTGTTAACCAAGCCATCTAAGGAGGCACATTTTAGACAGGCACAGTTGCCTATTAGCGTGATGTCAGGATCTTGTTAACCAAGTCATCTAAGGAGGCACATTTTAGACAGGCACAGAGTTGCCTCCATTAGCTGTGTCAGGATCTTGTTAACCAAGTCATCTAAAGGAGGCACATTTTAGAGCGGTGTCAGGCACAAGAGTTGCACAGAGTTGCCTCCATTAGCGGTGTCAGGATCTTGTTAACCAAGTTATCTAAGGAGGCACATTTTAGACAGGCACAGAGTTGCCTCCATTAGCGTGTCAGGATCTTGTTAACCAAGTCATCTAAGGAGGCACATTTTAGACAGGCACAGAGTTGCCTCCATTAGCGTGTCAGGATCTTGTTAACCAAGTTATCTAAGGAGGCACATTTTAGACAGGCACAGAGTTGCCTCCATTAGCGGTGTCAGGATCTTGTTAACCAAGTCATCTAAGGAGGCACATTTTAGACAGGCACAGAGTTGCCTCCATTAGCGTGTCAGGATCTTGTTAACCAAGTTATCTAAGGAGGCACATTTTAGACAGGCACAGAGTTGCCTCCATTAGCTGTGTCAGGATCTTGTTAACCAAGTTATCTAAGGAGGCACATTTTAGACAGGCACAGAGTTGCCTCCATTAGCGTGTGTCAGGATCTTGTTAACCAAGTCATCTAAGGAGGCACATTTTAGACAGGCACAGAGTTGCCTCCATTAAGTTGCATTAGCGTGATGTCAGGATCTTGTTAACCAAGTCATCTAAGGAGGCAGGGATCTTCCATTAACCAAGTTATCTAGGAGGCACATTTTAGACAGGCACAGAGTTGCCTCCATTAGCGGTGTCAGGATCTTGTTAACCAAGTTATCTAAGGAGGCACATTTTAGACAGGCACAGAGTTGCCTCCATTAGCGGTGTCAGGATCTTGTTAACCAAGTTATCTAAGGAGGCACATTTTAGACAGGCACAGAGTTGCCTCCATTAGCGGTGTCAGGATCTTGTTAACCAAGTTATCTAAGGAGGCACATTTTAGACAGGCACAGAGTTGCCTCCATTAGCGGTGTCAGGATCTTGTTAACCAAGTTATCTAAGGAGGCACATTTTAGACAGGCACAGAGTTGCCTGCATTAGCGGTGTCAGGATCTTGTTAACCAAGTTATCTAAGGAGGCACATTTTAGACAGGCACAGAGTTGCCTCCATTAGCGGTGTCAGGATCTTGTTAACCAAGTTATCTAAGGAGGCACATTTTAGACAGGCACAGAGTTGCCTCCATTAGCGGTGTCAGGATCTTGTTAACCAAGTTATCTAAGGAGGCACATTTTAGACAGGCAGTGAGTTGCCTCCATTAGCGGTGTCAGGATCTTGTTCACCAAGTTATCTAAGGAGGCACATTTTAGACAGGCACAGAGTTGCCTCCATTAGCGGTGTCAGAATCGCAGATTCACTTATATTGTTGGTGGGATTAAGCTGGTGCTGATGGGTTAAAGTGGTGATTTAACTGACATTCAAATCGTTCAGAGCATCATTATGAGTAAACAAAAATAATTCCAGCCTCCCTGATACCAGTTAGCCCGACTCTTATATTCTCAACTTTGGCAGCACCTTTTTCACAAAGACGTTGGTGCCGTGACGATCACAATACTTAGTCAACAGTTCAAGCACAGTTCAAGGTTTATAATCATAATAAATGTGCATTTGTAATGCGCCTTTTCCATATACAAGGCATATGCTCAAAGCGCTGACATGTTACAATTATATGCAAATGTACAGGGAGGGAAATATAGTTAGTTGTAATGAGAGGAAAACAGGTGGGTCTTCAGCAAGTGCTTGAATAGTGTAAAGTCAGCTGCTGATCCTATGGCCAAAGGGAGAGAATGTGGAAGATAATTCCACAGTAGAGGGGCAGCAACAAGCAAAGGAAAGGTTTCTCTGCTAAACCACAATCTTGGGTATGCTTGGTAACGATCTTCAGTGACAATTGTGTATCATTCAGTAATAGGCCGGGGCTAACATACTAAACTCCTTCAATGTGATCAGGATTTTAAGAGAAAACAATTTCTTATCTAAAATGTGAGCAGAACATTTTGATTTCCATGATACCTTGAACAATGTTTATGATGGGTTATTATGTGAGAATGTAGAGTTATTATGTGAGGATGTAGAGTTATTATGTGAGGATGTAGAGTTATTATGTGAGAATGTAGGGTTATTATGTGAGAATGTAGAGTTATTATGTGAGAATGTAGAGTTATTGGACTGCCATATGTGTTTCTGGACTCAAAGTTACTGCGTTGCCCCCTGTGGTGCTTATTGGTACACCTCTACACTTCAGTTTGTCATCTCTGCCTGGCTGCAGCCGGGGTTCAGTCTAACCTGTCAACCTGTAGACTACTCCAATGATCCTATGGCGGTGCGGGTGAGTAGCCAACAGTTATTCTGCAGATGGGGAACAATTGTCGAAATTGGAAAGGGATACATCCTCGATAATCTCCGGGGTATATGTTCCGATAAATCTCATCTTAGTACCCTGGATGCATCTACGGCTCAGCCCGATAATTAGATTACCTTCCTTTGCTGGCTCCAACTTCTCACTGTAGCCAATCAGATAAGTTGTTATAACTGAGCTTGCCAGTGTCAACTAAGATTGCGGCCACAGTCCACGAAGGTTTGTTCGCTGTGGGACTCAGTTTTAGGGAAAAAATAATACAGACAAATTGACAGGTTTGAAACCTTCAAAAAATATATGCAGGAACTCCTTCTACCACTTTCCAGGTACCTCAACGATTGTGTTGCAAAGTTTAATTGGTTAGATAAAGGAAGTGGAATTGAGTTATGGTAAAAGCCTTGTGATTGGTACGCTCGACTTCCCTGTGTATTTCCTTCCATGGTATCATAAAACATCCCAAACTGGTGCTATCAGTAAAACTGTTATACTGTACACTCTTCTTATGGAACAAGATAGAGGGATGATATTTAATTCATCTTTGTACCCTGAATGCTGCATTTCTGCTGTTTTATCACTGACTGGAGTATGTGTTGTGTTTCAGCTGGCACATGTGTGTTGGTGGTTTTACTTCTCCAAGCTTATAGAGCTGCTAGATACCGTAAGTACTTACTGTAGGTATTTAGGAGACATGCCTAGTTTATGACTAATAACATTAGATGACACTGGTTTGTATGGAAGGTAACCTTTCATGGCTAATCTGTGCCTTTCTCTAATGTTCACAGATATCCTTTCAGAGGACATGAGAGAAATAGATTTCATTAACACTTTGACAAACCAATGAAATGACTTCAGGGGGAATCTACATTAGCCAATCACTAAGTAGGTTTTTTGAGCCTTAGGGACCGTTCATAATTTATGAGGGGTGGGGGGATGTGATGATGATTTTAAGGGGGTCATCCATTTTGTTCTTGGGAGGTAGGGGGTTATCAAATTTGTACACATGTTCTAGGGGGTCAGCAATTTTGTACATAAAAATACTTTCAAGTTATGCTTTAAAAATATGGGAAGGGGAGGGGGCATTGATTTTGTACATGACATGTGGGGGTCACTTACTTTGTACATAAATTTTAGGGGGTCATTCACATTGTACATGCTTCTCCATTAAAATCATCATCACCCTCCCTAGCCATAAATTATGAACGGTCCCTTATGGCACAAGATTCAAAATGGTTATTTCCATTTCACACAACACACTATGAAAAATACTTTGACAGTGGATCATCATCTAAGGGACCGTTCATAATTTATGGCTAGAGGGGTGATGATGATTATTATTTTAAGGGGGGGGGTCACCCGTTTTGTTCTGGGGAGCTAGGGGGGTCAGCAATTTTGTACATAAAAATATGTTTAAAATTATGCTTGGAAATTATGGGAAGGGGAGGGGCGGTCATTGATTTTGTACATGACATGCAAGGGGGTCACTTATTTTGCACATAAATTTTAGGGGAGCCATTCACATTGTACATGCTACTCCATAGAAATCATCATCACCCCCAACCCCCCCCTAGCCATAAATTATGAACGGTCCCTAATAGAAGACATCAGCTAGTTTGACTAAAATAACTTTAGTTTGAGGTGAAACATTTGTAAACTCTAATCAATTTCTTTCTTGTGTTGAGAAAGAGAGTGTGGTTTCTGTGACCATGTCCAAGTATTGTGTTATCAGTTTAGTAATATAAGTGGGAGCACCTGACTGACTGTCTTTTCTGCAGGTGTTTTTCGTTCTACGGAAGAAAGGTAACCAGATCTCATTCCTCCATCTGTACCATCACTCTACTATGCCCATTCTCTGGTGGGCAGGGGCCAGGTTCGTCCCAGGAGGTGAAGGTCAGTGTCAAACTGTTATGCCACAACAACAACATTAAAAAAATCAGTTGTTTTAAGTTGTCTTTGTCCTGACTCATACGTTATTGCTTTATCTCCCTTTCCTTTCGAGGTACAGTGGAAACCTCTGTCCTGTTGTTCCCTAATGAACAGTCAAAAATAGCTCACCCCAAATGGGCCTCTCCCTGCCTCAGTGCCAGCATCCCATGTGACAGCTAGCTGCTTGTCAGTCTCTTGAACTAAGTTGTCTGTTAGCAGTCACTGTTCTCTAGTTGTCATCAATGTCATTATTTGTTTGGATTTTATGGTGCGTGTAATGAGACCGTGAATGTTGCAGGTTACTTCTCGGCCAGCATCAACTGTTTGATTCATGTGATCATGTACCTGTACTACCTCCTGTCTGCCATGGGGCCCAGCATGAAGAAGTACCTGTGGTGGAAGAAGTACATGACCACAATGCAGCTGGTGAGTACTCACATTCACGTCCATGCTGGTGGGAGTCCCTGGCCATGTACACCCTCCTTGACGAGCTGGAATCTCTTTGAACACTTTTATCTGTTCTGGAAAAACATTGTCAGGATTTTGCTAACCCAACTTAATATTTGAGTGAGTTCTAAGAAAAATGAGTTATTCGGCTGAGTACTGCTGAAATATTTTCTGTGCCTGATGCACTTTGACGTGACAAATTATCACTCCTCTTCCTCTTCCCACAGATGCAGTTCTGGGCCATCCTCGGCCACACCACCTACTCCATTTACCTCGACTGTGGCTACCCCCTCGGCTACAACATCGGCTTCCTCACCTACATGATCTCACACATCGTCCTCTTCTCCAACTTCTACTACCAGACCTACATCAATAAGTCCCAGCGTCCCACCTCTCTGGAGAACGGTAGCGCCAAGGCCAAGCAAAAGAATGGCATCATTAACGGCACCGTCCAAAGCGGAGTGACAAATGGCAGTCTGCGGAAGCGGATTGAATGATGAAGGGCCAGAGTAGTTGTTAGTGATGTTTGTGTAACTGAATATCAGATATAACTAACTGACACTCATGTCAACTGACAATCATCCTGCCGATAGTGCTTACAACATTCATTGTACATCACTGTTCAGGGCTGCTAAACTTGTCATCAGGGCCCCTACCAAGCTCACCTATATCACATAATGTACTTATGTCACATGCAGTCATGGCTCAATATTACTTCCTCCTCTGCCAAGGGATCTCACACAGACTGAGACATACTTTCAGCATACCAGTGTTATCAGTGAATCCACTGCCTTCACATTGTAGAATTATTCTACTGCAGGGATAGTTTTTAGGGTTTCACTTGTGTTCATTGCTCACCTTCCAATGAAATATGCCAGTACAGTCTGCAGAGGGAATATACGTGTGGCCTGTCATTCATTAGTCCAAGGAGAAAGGTGTAGTGATATGTTTGTTGCACAAGCCTGGTGAAATGTCCATGGAAGATGATATGTAAATTACATACACCCGTTGCTATGTGCATGGAAATTGGTGGGTGTATGAATGTATATTACATACACCCGTTGCTATGTACATGGAAATTGGTGGGTATATGAATGTATATTACATACACCCGTTACTATGTGCATGGAAATTGGTGGGTATATGAATGTATATTACATACAGCCGTTGCTATGTGCATGGAAAATGGTGGGTGTATGAATGTATATTACATACACCCGTTGCTATGTACATGGAAATTGGTGGGTGTATGAATGTATATTACATACACCCGTTGCTATGTACATGGAAATTGGTGGGTATATGAATGTATATTACATACACCCGTTGCTATGTGCATGGAAATTGGTGGGTATATGAATGTATATTACATACAGCCGTTGCTATGTGCATGGAAATTGGTGGGTGTATGAATGTATATTACATACACCCGTTGCTATGTACATGGAAATTGGTGGGTATATGAATGTATATTACATACACCCGTTGCTATGTACATGGAAATTGGTGGGTAGATGATATGTATATTTCACACATCTCTCATTATATACATTAATGGATGTGTATTATGTACACTCAGTGGTATATACAGGTAGATGCAGCTGTATATCATACGCATATGACACACACTGACACACACATGAGCATGGAGTCACACACACACATCATGCATACACATCTCACCCACACTCTCTCGCGCACGCACACACAGAGGTAAGGGAATATTGGTACATTATGGGATGTTGCGACACCAGCCAATTTTGAGTCCATGTATTGCACGAGTCAATGATGTGGACAAGTCGATGTGGTTTGGGGAGAACACTACACATTGTCCTTGAAATGACATGAGCCTTGGTGCAGTTATCATTGATATTAGACACTCATCATTCAATTCTGTATGTTAATTTATTGTAAATATCCCCATCTGCACTTTCATATTTTCATGAAAATAGCCCATCAATGCAATGAGATTAATGGTACAGATAATTTCAGAGTTCATGTTTTAATGGTGATTATTAAGCTGGTTTAATGTATTTGCTGTTATAATTATTGTGTAATCATTGCAATAATTCTGCTGGACATAATAGCTGCTCTTAATTATGCATTCATTTAGTTATGACTTTGCAGGATGCTGTGTCTTAGAACTGTCAAGCCTTAACTAAGTTAAAAATATTGTTTTCCCTGAGTTGACATTGTCATCCACAGAGAGAGATTCTACATGAAAGCTTGTCAACAGTGTGCATGTTTTCAGCAATAACTATTAACTATACAACCATTACTCACCAACTCCAATCTAATATGTTGTGTTCTACCATTCCAAACATATTGGTGGTTATATTTTATTTTGTTTGCACATAATTGAGTTGTGAGTTGTTAGCATGGTTACACTGCTTTTCCTGTATGGTTGGGGAACTTTTCACGGTATATCCCAGTATATGTCAACTTCAGTAATTTCATATACCAATATACATGACATCCTAGGGGGATCTGTTGAAACATATATCCCAGGTTATGTGAAGATAGTTGGACATGTACCATTTTATCAAGTATTTAGATTTGTTAATCTGTGTTTTAATTTCTGTTTGTTACACAAAACTCAGGACAATCAACAAGGGGAGACCACTCTTATGTGTGTCCCATTTCATATTAACCAAGGCTAGAAAAAGGTTAGAATCAAAACGATGAGAGAAGGTCAAGGTTATGGTTAAGAATAATTTGTCATCAAATGCCAAAAGTGGTCATGGTTAGGTTTAGATAAGTTCTAGTTGCACCATTTGTGACTTCAGTATATAAATGTGTTGAGGAGCATGTGTGACTGTTGCTACTAGCTGTGGTCATTCTTGGTATTCCAGTGAAATATGTAATCAAAGTGCTACCTCTAGTCAGCAGACGTCACTCAGGGTGGCCATCGCTAGCAGCGTCAGATCACGGGTGGGCATGAGTAGCTAATGGTTGTTATTTTCTTTGTTAAAGGTTGTGTGCATTACAATATAGTACAAATTATTAGAATTCTATTTTACAGTTTTTTCCCTTATGATATTACACTCAGATGTCTTTTTGACTTTTTTATGCACTTTTATATCACAGTCACTGATGTTTTTATTTGCATTTTGTTATTTTCCTACTACTCAGATGGTTTGTTTGTACAAGTGCCAATGTGTAATAACGACATCTGTTTTATACCAGTGAACAATCGAAATTCAAGTGGTTGTTGTTGAATGCATATATTCGATTACATTATTGTCATTTTTCTTATTGCATAATTGATGAGACTGACCTGAAAAAGTACAGGTACCTTATGACTGCTTGCCATCTGTGTCATGACAACCCAGTGTGTCTAGAGACTGTATTTATTTATGAAGTATATTTGTTTTGGATGCACTGTTGTTCATCCGTTTACAAGGCCAATGATAAATAGAATATTGAATATATAGGCTTGAATGCAGATCCTGTAAAGTGTCTTAAAGTGCGGGAATGTTGCAGAAGTTTCTTGTCCACATTTTTTTGCTCTGAATGCAAAAATAGAAACCTTTACTTTGAGTAATATCAACATCCAAGAGCGAGACCGTTTTTCTTTAGCTAAATGTGTGCTGTATGCTCTTATTTTGTTATTGTTTTGAAGTGAGAACAGTATTTATTCTTCCCACCGAGCTGATTTCAGTAATGAAGAAATCTTCTGAAGAGGAATGTTAAGCATGTGGTTTTATAAAAGTCTTTTAGTGGATAATGAGTAGGATGTGGGTGCATGGAGAGAAATTAAGACTTACAGTCTTCTCTATCTTTACACGATGAAGATTGGCGAGAACTAGTCATAAAGAAAGCTGAGATGTAACAGCATTGCCAAGAGCTCTTTCATTATAATGTCAAAGTTGCTATAATAATAATGATCTTGTGTATTCTTGTGAAGTTAGACTCACAGATAAACATTTTGTTCATGCTAGATTACTCCTGGTAGCACTTCAACATTTGCAGTTTAAACTTTCACATTTGATATCTGGACCCAGTAAAGAAAATTCCTTTTAATGCACATGGATTTATAATTGATGTATTTGACAAGTGCACAATTTGATGCATTTTTGTAAGAATTAACAGATAGCCTTTAACAGTGTATGACATAAAGCCCGTCCGACCGACCGAGACGGTCTAGATTTCTGACGGACAGTCTAAATTTACAGCAAGCCAGCCCGATGGTCTGGTAAATTTTTTAGATGTTCCTTACATCTGAGTATATTCACCATATTTGGTCTGGTTAAATCCATTTTGGGCTGGTAACCTTTTTAAAGTTACCAGCCCTGATGTCTGGCTGGAAATTTGGCTTATTTCATACACTGCCTTCAATCATATTTGGTCAGTTGTATTCACTAGGATAAACCAAAGGGAGATAATCAATGTGTGATTAGATTAGGGCATTTTTGTTCTTTGATGGAAGGTTGTGGCAGATTGTTCTGGACAGGAAATTTAACCATACCAAAGAAAATATTTGCAGACCCATTATTAGACGGTGAAATTAATTGTTTTTAAGGACGTAAATGACATGTTTTCACCGTCAAATATGAATTAAAAGTCAGCTGTATTTTGCATTTTGTATTTAGACATGATGTGTGGAGATGCACAATAACAGGTTGGCTCCGCATATATCTGGGATGCAACTAGATATCTTGGGTGTGAACATTACATGGTGCTCATGTTTCCAAACAGTGTTATTTACCCTTCAGTCAGATTCACATTCACATCTTTATTGTTGTTTTTCTCTGCATACAGATTCTGATCAATTTTACGCATAAAATGGCAATCGTCACTGGATTCCATGTTGCTCTAAGTGACGATAGAAGTCATATCTGTAATGAAACACATGGAGGTTTTAAGGGGTTATCTCAGATATGAAGCCCAACTATACATCTTGCAAATAAAATCTGTGTAATGGTTAACTGCTGAATTTATATATGTTGGCTCAATCCAGATACCTCTTTAAATAGCCATGTGTGGATATTGTTATGAACAATATTTTTCTTTACTTAGATAATGACTGTTGCTTCATCAGCATGGATATCTAGAGCTGTGAACCTAGTATCCTGGCTAGCTATTCTCGAAACTTCTTAAGTCCTACGAACTTCTTAAGCCCATTCTTAACACATTGGCTATGATCAAAGTTAAGAATTCTTAGGTCTACGAACGTTTCGAGAATAAGGGCCCAGGTCTTACGTCGTAAGTGGCATGGGTAAAGACATTCAGTGCAATATTAAAAGTCTATTATATTACATCATGCAGCGTGCTCTGCCTATCTGATACCGGTATGTCTCGTTAGATTTAACATCTATAGTCAATAACATGGTACTGTCCGTTCAGAGGTGCCTGTATAGTGTGAATGTAGCTTGTAGCTTATAGCTGTGTTTGAGTGCACACAAATATTCCCCCTCCCCATGGTAATTTACCTGTAAAAATGTAAAACCTTGATATGAACTACTGTGTCAGGTGAAATTGTCACGATGAATGAACTTCCAGACTTACAGCATGTACCACTGCAGCTAGTATATATAGAAGTCAAGCCATTTGGATCATCGGAGTCCTGACTAATATGGCAGTTGTACCTGGGCAAAAATGGCCAAGTTACACAGATAGCAGTGTCAAGCAGTCCTGTGGGTGGATACAACCAGCACATTTCTGTCACTTTTTGCCTGTTTTTTTTTCAGGTGTATGTATGAAAAAGCATTACTCAAATTTACAAATGGTTATATTTTTTACGAGCATAATAAGCCAGCTTCTAACATTTAATCAAAATATTTTCAGCACAAATTACCTGTGACAGACTAAAGTGGCATCAAGTACCTTGATCCATTCTTTACCTGTGTAGCTTGAAGTAGTACTGCCATTGAAGATTTAACCAGTAGATGTTTGATTGATGAATGAATTGCAGTCATGTGCTTTAGATATCCCACTTTACAATGATGCTGAGCATTGAACAAACTTGTTGATATTACTTATTCCTATTTACAGTGGGACTAGTGCGGTTACTTTGGGTTAGCATTGTGCCAGTGCCTGCACCAAGAAATGCTTACTAGTATTTAGATGGGCGTTAAAATGAATGTGTTATATTTGCAAGTACAGTCATCCCTCGCATTAACGAACTGATTACCGCCTCGTCATCCATGGCCCCCTAGACCCCCGTTATTGACTCATTGAAGTCATGTTTGACAATTAATTGCCAACATTTTGTTTTTATGATCAAAGTGGCATGTACCGCAGGAAGTCAATGGTGTCTTGTCAGACTCTCATACAGAGTGCTGAGTCTAAGTTAATTATTATGTTTAATATGTATGTAGAAAACTTGCATAATACTAATACGATAGCAATAAATATTATCCCTGTTAAAATAACTGCTTAGATATAAATTCTTCTGATAATGGAATAGAAATACTTTGATGTTATATGTTTGGATCATTTTTAACTGAATCACCGGTAGATTGGAGCAAAATGTGTACACAGCTGATCGCTATTTCTGGCTTTGTTTTTTCACCTCCGATGATACGACATAGTTTTGACTGGGCACAATACATGAAATAGCAGTTCTGCTATGTCCATGGAAATTTTACTTGACATTCTGTGCTATGTAAAATTGCGTGTGTCTCAACACATCTGGTCGTCCATGGACGCCAAGACCTGCGTTATGGTGAGGGATGACTGTATTTACATACCAAGTATGTCTGGTGATGTTTTTGTTCAGTCTGAAACAAGATGGCGCTACTATTACATGTTTCTGTATTTACTGATTTATAGTCAGAGCAAAGAAATTTTAATGAAGTGTTTAAAATGTTTTCAATTTCATTCTAATGACAGCATAACCTTATGACAAAAAATCAGAGAATAAAATCTAATAATTTCTTTATAGTCATTTCTAAATGGCATTGCGTTTGCATGCTGTTTAAGTATATTATTTCAGAGCGCACTGAGATTACATTTTGCAATGTTTTATCCAACAATGTTATGAAAGCTAATTTTCCAATTTATGAGCACATGGTGCCAAATTTATATTGACCATGAACCAATAAAACCCTCACCCAAATAGTATCTTGTTTTGTTAGTTGTGGTTTGAGCAGTTCACTTGCCTTGTGAAATAGTCTTCCAGTTGCTGTGGTAAGTCATCAACAGACAGAAAGTGGTGGGGAGCAGAAATAAGAAAATGAATGACTATTCAAATTAAGTTGATCGACAAAATCAGAAAAGAAACACTGTCCAACATAGAGTGGATGTGTTGTTGTGGATGTACACGCATCAGAAATAGAGGTCATTATATCAATACCTCTACTGCCAGTTAATGAAGGCATTCTCCAAGAAATCCCAGGGATTTTCTACAGACTGCCCAGGGCTTTCCTGACGAATAGCCATTGACTTTGAATTATTTACTTGAACAAGTTTTGAAGATTGATATTAGTGAATATGATCGTAAAATATCACAATATTGAAAACTTCCTATTTATAGTGTGAACACCCGGTTTTGAACCTGCAACCCTTCGCTTACTAGTTTTATCTACAAGGCTACGTAGGATCACTATGAAGATCATGATTGTTAGTCAGTATGAACCATGTGTTCCTCACAAGGCTGGTAGGGATCGCAGCGCAGTGCAGGACACAGGTAGCACATGCATTGCGTGTCCAAGCCAAGGTATTGGCTGCCAGTCGCATGCCAGTTAATTTCAAATACTGAAATTATATCTAAAGTAAATCTTCTGTTGGTTTTGATCCTTCACTACTAACACAGCAGCTGTATTGCCCTTCTGTTCTAACTAGCACAATCATATACAATATTCTGATGCTATAACTGCACCAGGGCCTTTTTAGCATCTTCGAAAATAATTACCTTATTCCATATATTAATGGAAGAGTTAATCTCGTTTGACTTCAGCTGAATGTTGCTAATCACCACAGGAGAAAATGCATATTTTGTTAAAATTTATTCTTTGCCAAACTTAGACATTGAAAGCTGGCATTTTTGTGACATACAGATGAACAAGTTTAAAATGTTCACTTTGACATTGGCACATCTGTACATAACAACTGAGTATTTACAAATGTAATATATAAATACACTAAGCACCTTTCTGTTTACTTTACTGACTTCACAACACTGTTGTTCACAATAACATCTACTGCAGTCTCAACACTTCACATCCATACACCATCAGTTTCCGTAAAGCTGCAACACTTAGAAGTATAAAGTTGCCATTATCATATGAGCAACATGTATTTAGGATCTATTAAATGCAACAGGGAACATTGTTGTGAGAATTAACTTTAAACTATACTTTTTGACGTGCCTTTAAGTAACATTTTAGAATTCCATTGTCATTGCCTCTCATGCAAAAGAGAAAAGCTTGAAACTTAAAGCATTACTTAAGCATGTACAGATTTTATTGGGCTTTGGTAAGCAACAAATTTAGACATAAAAGATTCGTCTTGGCCCTGGATTAATTATCAAATCATAAAGGAACAATTAGTTCACTAATAATTAATGGAAAGGAAAGCCTATATCAAAACTATTTTCAGAGAAGTGCTGGGGATATGTGAGATCACATGATACTCAGTAACAGTTATATTTGAAAGCTAAGCAGCATGTTGCTCTTTCTATAACAGAAAATGGTGCATATTTGCAAACTGTCATGGAAAATTTCTTGCCTTCAGTTAATATACATAATAATCACATTCATACACATACACACTATTTACCTCTCATTTGATTCATGCATCATACCATCAGTTCATTCAACAACACTGTGTAAGTTCTCCTTCTGAGTAATTATTGAAGGTCATAGATACTTCAAATTCCACTTAAATTGTCAAGTATCCCCTTGTATAGTAACACAGAAGGTTGATACATATATATCAACCCAAACCCCAACTAATATGCAAGTTCAAACAGCATGGATATTTCATTTAGACACAACCATTCACAACTACTGGAATATGTTTAGAACATACAAAACTACCACATCTCAAATACACAGAAAACACACTGAGCAGTGCAGCACTATGCTCCTCTTAATATGAAAGAGTATGTCCAAATAAATATGTCACAGCAACTGTGACTGCCTCCAGACATATGGCCTGACCATATTTGTAAGTACCAAGTCCTGTTTATGACTTAACAAAGACTACATTGAGAGACCAAAAGCTTGTATAACATCTGAGTGTTGAAAGACATGAAGATTGGAACTTACACTTAATATCCTCTCATTTGTTTCTCTAACAAGGAAAGAAAGCAGGGTTCACATTATCACAATGTTCATGATATTTTATGTTTACAATTTCTAATTACAAACTCATCAAGAGATGAACAGAGACTTCCTATTGACACTGGCCTCATAGATCCTGAAATTGAACACAATGCGGACTTCAAATCTAAGGAGAGATTTGTGGTGCTTCTTTCATGTGATGAATGCTTTATGATGGAAATAAAGTGTAAAGTGGTGGTGATTGCACATGACCGAACGATAGGAAGTAAGGGGCAGTTAGACCCTAACAGAAAGGGGAAGCTGTGGGATCTATAGACTTAAACAGATCTTTGAGAGGTGGTTCATTGGGCATGGGGACTTGGGGTGGAATCATCACATCAGGAATGCCTGGTGTCACTGAATCTAGCCCCCCAGGTTGTTTGGGAAGGTCTGGTGGTGGTGGTGTTGATGGTTGTCCAGCCTGGGGGGCCGATGGAGCTCCAGTAACCCCTGGAGAATTGCTACTAGTCCTTCCCCAGTTCCCACCTTTGGTGGCGGGTTTAGTTGGATTAGAGCTTTGTCTGTTGTAACTATTGTAACCTGAACTGTCATCTGACTTGGAATCATCCATTCCTAATGGGGAACTATATTCCATACTACTTTTCCTTTGACCAGTAAACTTTTTCACAAGGATCCCCTTCTCTGTGGAATCAGAAGCAGGTTTCCTCTTGAATCTTGGATCATTTCTATAGTCAAACCTTTTCACAGACTGATCTGATTGAGAGTCAGACATGCCAGATTCTGATTCACTAGTATCAGCAGTTTCTAAGTTAGAAATTCTAGGGTCTGATAATTTTGGGGGTTCTAATAATGCTGAAGGCATAGCTTGATTCTGTCGAGGATCTAACTTGTTTTCAGAATTAGCACTTCTTGGGTCAGAGTTAGTTCTCTGTAGTCCTTGACTTCTTGAATCACTACTTACTCTAGGGTCACCCAACAACCTTGGATCATGACCTGCACTTAACCTTGGATCATTTTTGGGTGAAGAACCTGTTCTTGGATCAACTACTGATCCAGGCCCCTGCCTTGGATCTCCAACAATCCCCATACTGTTATTTGGGTCATCCTGAAGAGGCCCAATACCTGATCTTGGATCACCTCCTGATCCAGGACCACATCTTGGATCACCCCCTGACCTCGGATCACTTAAATGGGGAGGTTCATTATGCCCTCTTTGATCTGCATTCATCCTTGGATCAAACTGCATTCTCTGATCTGGGCCCATCCTGGGATCAAATGGCAGTCTGGGTTCAGGACCCATTCTCGGGCCAAATGGCATTCGGGGCATAAATGGCATTCTGTTACCAAATGGCGGCCTTGGTCTTGGACCCGGGCCCATTCTTTGATCAAATGGCATCCTGACATCTGGTCTTATCCTTGGTTCACCACTCTGGAATGAACCCGAAGCTCTGGGGTCATTAAGTCTCCCAGATCCATCATGACTATGTTGGCGGGACATATTTCTGGGGTCCTGTCTACCACCCGACTGTGGAGTGCCCTGTTCCTGAAGTCGGCCTAGGCGAGGATCTTTGATTGGTCTGACAGGTAGGCTGTGAGACATGGGATTGGGTGTAGACTGCACTCTTTGTAAAGCGGGGATCACTCCCACGAGAATCCAAAGCCTTTGCAATCTGCTCTGACACAGCTTTTTGCAAGCTTGAAAGACTTGGGGGTTGACTTGGCTGTTCACTGCTTGTTTGCACCCTTGGATCTGCTCGTCTTAACCTTGGATCTTGTGGTTTGGGAGCAGGTGCTTTTTTCCTCAATGCTTAAATGGCGTGCTCTTCTAGGATCACTGTTTATAGGCTTTGGCACAGTCAAATCTTTTTCTCCATTCTGTGGTGAAGACAAAGGAGGTTTCACTTTTCCTACTCTGGAAATGTATTTTTGCACACGAGGGTCATTCTGGTAAGTTGGGTCATTTGGATCTACACCTTGTGGCATTGAATGATAGGGTTTCTGACCATTCAAACTGAAGTCTTTGATCCTGTATGTCATTGAAGTAAGGACTGCTTCTATCACAGGGAAGGAACCATTAATAACATCCTGGCTGGGTTGCTCTGACATTGAGTAATCTCGTATTATGTCTTTTGGTGATGCAGATCCCTTCATACTTTCTGTAGAATCATGTCTCTTTGCAGCCCTGAAGTAAAAATCATATTATTAACTGTTTTATTAATTTGTTTTGTAAAAGGAATTTTATGTACTATCGATGTAGGAATAGAAAAACAGTAACATTCTTTAGAAATTTATTGATACATGCATGAACTTTCTGATTAGAGTAGGCAACTTGCACCATACATTTATATCTTTCCTTAGTCATTTTTTTCTCAGCACAAACCACCAGTCATAAAACAGCCAGGAACAATTAACTTTTAAGTGCAATGATCACTTGACTTTCAAAAGATATTTTGTGTTAATCACAATCAGAGTATAAGGAACAAAGCCTGTGGGCTTTTGTTAAAGCAACCATCACAGGGTTATTAATTCTGTTTGTTTGCTGTTTTGTTTCTGACTGCTGTCACAGAAACACAAAGGAAGAATCAAGATTTTCACTCAACGTTTTATTGTTCATATAATACAATGTAACCTGAAGACCCTTTATCTTTACTTTGTTATTACTCATAGCTACTACTTAGCTTGAGGCTCACAGGGTAGTAGAGCTGTTGGACCCTGAAACAGGCCAATAAATGTGTGTATTCGATGAATGTATTCATGCAAATTTTGGTTGCATTGTGAACCAAGCCTTTGATATATATTGAACACTTACAGAATTCATTTTTAAACTAACATAACTTCTATACCAAAACACTAATTTAAATAGCATAAAAACCTCTAGAAATAAAGTGTAATTGACACTCACAACCCATTTCAAAATGACTCTGAAACCGAGTTACTTACCTTGGTTTGACACTGTCTCTGACACCAGGGGGTGCTGACTGTGCTTTTTCTGGAATTGTCGGAGCCTGGTTTTTGATGGACTGAATCATCTGCATGATGTTGAAGGTGGATGCTGTGGGTGTGCTGCCCGCTTAGGGTGAACTGTGTGGTTGAGCTACAGGCTGAAGCAACAGACCAATGTTCATTAAAAGATGATTCAAAAGTTTATCAAATGGAATATGCTGCACTAGTAATGTTCACTGTTCATTTTAAGCTGTCACACAAAAGAAATGCTGCTTGGGTACCTGTTTGCTGAGATTCTTCAAGACATCCATTAATTTAGGTCCCCCTTCCAAATCTTCATCACTGGAGTACCAGTCATCATCTTCAGCATCCTGGGAACCTGAAATATCAAGAGGTAAACATTGTCATCAAATGTTGAACAAACATGACAACTGGAGCCAACCTACCACTGGTTCAAGGTGCATACTCATCTCAGATCAAGAATTATTTTATAACTTCTGAAATATCTAAGTCTTCTTTTGTTTCTGATGTTCATCAAAGATTACTAGCTAGATGACATAATACTGAAAATACCTTGCTTTATACATAGTCATGTTCAAATTAGTGAAGCGACATTGCCACTGCTTTGATTTAAACTCTCTATATCCATTATTCCAAGCACATTATTGTGTAAATTGATCAATTATTATTACAGCAAATTTTCTCATCAGATTCATCTTAGGAAACATCCTACCTTTAGCTGCACTTGGATCATCGCTTGTCTCAGTTGTCTCCCCTTGTTCACTCAGAGCACTGTCTTGTTGATGTTGTTGCTGCTTTATTCGCATGAACAAATTCCGTTGGGTTGGAGGTAAGTGACTAGGAATTTCCATCTCAATGGCCTTGTCACCTTCATTTTCACCTCCACCTTGTTCTTCAGAGATTTCTTGTGTATCTTCATTACTCGGTGTCTCATCTTCAGGTTTGTTTTCTTCTTTATCAGTTTCTTTTGTTTCAATATTTGGAACTTTACTGGAGTCTGTACTTAAAATGGGACTTTCTGGATCCTTGTCCTCTGATTTCACTGCTCTTGCATCACGATGAGCTGAAGGACTAGATATTGTGTCACTGGTATGGTTTGGAGATGTTTTGGGGTCTGCCACTGACACTCTTGGATCTCTACTTCTTCGTGGATCTGAAGCTGTTATTCTAGGTTCTTCTTTGACTTTAGTCTCAGATTCCTGTGGTGAACATCTTAGGTCACTGACTGATTGATTGTCTTGTTGTTCAGATGAAGCACTGCGAGGGTCTCTGTTAGGTTGAGCTTTGGCTCTTGGATCTCTTGCAAGGAATGGCACATTTCTTGAATCTTGAGATTGACCTCTTGCCTCCCATGAGTCTTTAGGGGGACCATCTACATCAAAAGGTCCCCTGGGATCTGGCAATAACGGTCTCTGGTTTCTTTGACCTAATTCTCTTTGTTCCATGGGATCCTTGTTCTGATTTCTTGGATCTGCTTGAACAGGAGGGCCCATATTTTGAGATCTAGGACCTCTTGGATCATTCCCCCGCAGATCTCTGGAATCAATGGACATACCCCTTGGGTCCAATCCTGATGGTGGACCTCTTGCATCCATCCCCGGTGGTGGCCCTCTTATATCCATTCCCTGAGGTGGACCCCTTGAATCCATTCCATGATGTGGACCTCGAGGATCCACACCTGGGGGTCTTCGTGGGTCCATTCCTTGGGATCTTGGATCTCTAGGATCCATGTGTTGGGCTCGGGGATCCCTTGGATCAAAAGGAGGACCTCCTTGAGCTCTTGGGTTACGAGGATCCATCATTGGCCCTCGACCTTGAGGTCCGTTATCTAAATGAAGAGGCCCTCTCTGGTCGTGGAAATTTGGTCCTGGACCTCTCATGTCAGGAGGTCCACCTGGGCCCCTTGGACCTCTTAGATCTTGACCATGCCCTGGGCCCATGAATAGGCCTCTGGGTCCTGGACCCATTCCTGGACCTTGCATTCTGGGTCCTTGCATACCAGGTGGAGGTCCTTGGTTCGGTCCCGGAGCACCTGCCCTAACCACCACTTCTGGTGGGGCGCCCCTCAATATTGCACCTATCATGTTGAGAACTGGAGGAACTGAGGCATGCTGCTGGGGAGGAGGGAGATTAATAGGAGGTGGTCCTGGGCCAGGAGCTTGTGGTGGAGAACCTGAATCTTGGTAGAAACCACTTGGTCTGAAAAAGACCAAATACAAAACACATTTCAGCATGGTATAAAATCAAGAACATATATCTCACAACACAATCAAAGAAAACTGAAAGAAAATGAAAGAGATGTTCTGCTCACCTAATGGACGGTGAAGCTGGGGTGGGTTTACGGGGACTAGGATTCTGTCCTGGGGGAAACACTTGAATATCAAACAGTGATGGGATCTTCTTTGTCAGGTCTCCTCCTACTCCTCCTTCCAGCAGGTGGCGTGGAGGGGAACCTAAATATAATCATTGGGTAAACTTATGTCAGGCTAGAGATATCACTAACCATTTGAAAGAACATGTGAATGTAATGTGGTCAGATGCAATTCAAACATTAGTCAAGAACAAATCTCAATCTGTTACTTCTGTTAAACAGGCAAATAACACTGTATACAATACTGTGTATGTGAAATTACCCCCTGATCTTTAAACTACAAAAAGAAAATAAACAGTATGAAGTTCAGTAAGAGTATCACAATACACTTACCAAGTAAGCAAGGCCTTGGCTTATCTGGCTCGTCACCATGTAGTATCTGAAAAAGAAGATTTTATATGTAACCATGGTGATGCCATTTCCCAAACAAAGCAGATTATGCAAAAAGTCATAGAGTCCATTTACTGTCTTCCTGAATGCCTCGAAAATATCAACACAGCACAATGAAATTCATGTATCCACTTCAGATCTCATGTCACATAAAGTTTTGTTGGAGGACTTTTAACTATGTCTTTTAATAATGAACATGGAAACTGGCATCAAAAACTCAAAGCAGCCTAGAATTCTCTGTCAAAAACATCTGCCATAAGCATGTGTTAGGGAAAAGAAAATCATGCCAGAAGCAGTCACAAAAGTAAGCCACTGAGGGGCAAATGTTACCTTATCCAGCAATGCCTTTGTTTCATCAGTCAGGGGTTCATGGGAAAACTTGCAGTTATCACCCTGGTAACAGTCTGCTCCGGTGTGGAAATACTTGCATGGATAATCATGTAACATGTTAAGGAAGACTCACTGAACAATACTATTGTATGCACTAGCATAAGTTAATCATGCCACACTGTTGACCTAAGTGGACACTTACATTTGAAACAAGTGGAATAATTTTGGACTTTGGCCTCAATAGAAGCATTTTAGCATGAGGTTTCAGCATGTAAACAATCATAACATTAACCTTGCTAATATGACTATTATGCTCAGACACACCATGTTTCATTATTATCTCTTCATGCAATGTCAACTTTTTATTCACTCAGCCATACAGATTATCAATACTGAATTTCAGGCAACAACAGTAAGTATTATAGTGGCAACACAAGATTGCCACATGGGACAGAAAGGATATCATGCATGTAGATACAGAAGTCTCCCTTGGAACAGTTTGACTGCAGGTAGAACTTGCACACTTCTGGTTTCTTAGGTGGTCGGAAGTCGTGATTGAACGGGCAACCACTTCCCTGCAAATGCATAAAGACAACAGAAAGTAAAGTAAACATCTCATCAAGTTTCCTAGATTTCAAACAGCATGACAACATATACACAACCATGAAACACAATAGGTTGACACTGACACTGCAATGGGATTCTTGAGGTTTTCTATGGTCGTTGATTCTCTATCTTATAACAATCGGACATCTCGACTTTTACGTTTAATTTCATACACTGCTTATTACATACTAATATTCTGCAAATAACTTGGAAATTTTAATATAAATTGTATATTGTATATATGATCATTCAAGGTGGGCAATTAGTGGAGCATGCTGCAAGCTTTATTAGGAACTAGGAAGCTAATTAAGAAGAGCAGCATGGAGTGCACGGGCGAATGGACAAGGAAGCCTATGGAAAAAAGTTTACAGTCGTTCCACTAAAAGTCCAAGCAAGAGAGAGAGGTGCAAGTCGTGAGATAGGATAAGTTTAAAAATTCAGTATCTATAAAGCTTACCTTAGCACATTTTCCTTCCATGTAGAACTTGCAGTGTGGCCTTTCATGACGAGGTATTTCTAACAGTGGTTTCTTCCTGGGTTGCACCGGGCCTTGGTTTTCACCTGATCGTCTTGGAGTTCTACTGATGTGACCTGCTTTCCTCTTCCTACCATGCGTTTGATTCTAAAACATAAAACATAAGTTTTTAAACATTTTCACTATACCTTATGTATATGTATACATGGCAAACAAGTGTAAATACATTAAAATACTCAAGACAATAAGCATACATAATCACTAGCGAGTAAAAGTGGTTTTACACTACAAAGATATTCCAGTTTTCTGCTGCAAGAAAATATTCTACACTGGGTCAGTAAAACCTGTGGCTGACAGCATGAGCACACAAAAAACACTACCAGGGTACAATAACACTCTGCTAGTCAGGCCACACACTGTGGTTGATCAACAGTCATTAGTTGACTCACAGCATTGGACATCTATTGTTTATTTCACTAAAGAATTACACTGCGCAAGAAAAGGACTAACTTAAAACATGAATGAGAAGTCTGCATACTGTCGAAATACTTCAAAAGAGAAACAGTTCAAATGTTACCTGACTGTCAGTGTCCATGTAATCTCCATCATAACCAGGTCCGGGACCAGGCCTTAGTAAGTTATGGCCCCTGAAATGAGTAAACGTGTTGTTTACAGACACAGCATTTAGACAACATACCTAGCTGTATGCTACCAAATATTGGACTTCTTTCCCTTTCAACAGGTATATCACTGCTTACTCTTTAAGAACATATCAAAGGTTTTTGAATGTAGTGTACTGTTTAATGTTGCAATGAGCAGTTTTTCAGCTATGCAACAGGTTGCTGGTGAACCAAGCAAGAATCATGACCACAATAACATATCTCTGTAAATGAACACTTTATCAAGAAAGAACTCTCACCCGTCTTCAGAGTCTTCATCATACGATGGACTATCATAGAGTCCTGGAGGGCTGTCATACAAGTGGTCATATTGGCTAGGAGAGCTGTGTTTCTTTGATGGACTACGGTTGTGCCCTGGGCTGTCATATGGTCCAGATGGACTGTCATATCCAGGGCTATCATATGGCCCAGGTGGGGACCTGGACCTCTTGTCAAAGGACATCATGTCTTGATCTTCTGGGCGATCAGGATCTCTGTATTCTCTACCATGTCGCTTCCTCTGTGAAAATCATAAATCTTTTTTCAAACAATGTTAAGGACAAATTGACAGCAATGTCAAACAAAACATTTGGAAACTTTGAAAGTATAAATTTTATCAAATGTTCTGATTTTTCTACGACTTCTTCAAGTCTGTCATACAGCCTATATTTGGCAAGTCTACAGTTTCCGAAAATGAAGAAAGTCTCTTGGTTATTTCTTATCACATTTTTATTTTTATTAAGATACGTAAAACTTGTTTTTTTCTGTAAATATGTTCATTTCTGGAATAGACTGGGCTATATATTAGTCTAGGTTTCAATATCTTTTATCTGTAAATAAATCCACATTTAACCTTTTTTTCGCGATCTTTCCGATCATGTCTGTCTTTTTTGGACTTCTTTCTTTTCTTCTTCTCCTTTCGAGCTTTATCCCCTGATTCTTCCTCCCCCTCCTCGTTTCCCTCTCCCGATTCCTTCTCCTCCCCATGATGACGCTCATGTCGGTGACTATGTCGGTGCTCTCGGGACGAACTTGGAGATGATTTTGATGCTGAAAGCAAACCACCAGTGGTTGCATCACTCCATAAAATTAAATTTACCTGATTAGCAAAATGTAAAGATACAGTCCTTATGGATGCTGCTCCTTCACAGCTTTCTGCATACTTATCACCATTGCTTTTTAGAGGTCTCGGCATGATTTGCATGCTTACATGTTGTTTTGTTTGTTTAATACAATCAGAACAATAAAACACTGTATGAATATAAGTTACTAATTCAATTTCCAGCTTTTTAATGTCATAAAAGACATTTGGGCTTGATGAAGTTCTTGGTAAATTTCCAATCATTAAGTTAGTTTTGTATATAGACCGATTTTTATGGTATTAATTTATTTACTATGTTGTTTTCATGATGCAAAGATTCCTTTCAAAATCTCTCCCTCCAAATAATCTAATGATGCCATAACATTTCAGAATCAATTTCCACCATTTAATTTCTTTCCCATTCCCTCGTCATCAAACTGTTCAAAATTCTGTCTCAGTAAATTCTGTAAATATAAGTTAACTTTAGAATTATTGTTCAGGATCTCACATTCATTATTTGGATCACTTGAGGCTTTCTTTGATGGGGGAGGCCTTTCTTCATCTTCTTCATCAGCTATTTCTCCATCCTCCAGAATCTCTCCATCTTCTAGGTCACCAGTATCTTCATCATCATCCTCATGTCGATGTTTTCGAGAACCTGCTGACCGCTCGGCCATCCTTAGCTGATGTCTGCGGAACTTCTTATGTCTGTGTGTGTGCCTGTGTCCACCTGGGGAGTCATACACACTGTCATTCTCCTTGTTGTCATATTCCAGTCCATTCTTACTGACCTTGCCAGCATCATCCATCTCATCAGGGTAAGAGTTGTCTCCCTTGACTCCAAAGAATTCATGTTTCCTTCCATACTCTTTCTGGTCTACAAAGTCATCTGTCATCAGTGGCTGTGTATCATTATCATCCTCGCCATCACTGGGATCAAGATGTTCCACATCATCTACTTCCATCGTGATGGATCAGTACTCATGAAAGTCCTTGGATTTCATCTGGTGTTATCTGTGGAAATTTTAAATAAGGTTCTTAACTGGGCCCATCCAACTATCAACTTGTGAATAATATAACGTCATATCTTTCACAAGAAAATATTACACATGAAAAAGCTATCTTGATTTTCAAAAAACAGTTAACATGGTTAAGGTATCAACTGAAGTTACTTATGGAAAATGAGCTCCTACAGCTGAAAACAAATGTCAACCTATCAGAAGGCAAAACCAATATTCTGAATATTTGTGTAGTGCTTGCAGTGTGTGAAGGGGTTTTTTGAGCCGCAATCAGAAATTTCACAGGGGCAATAAAACCTCCACTCATAACCACCCCACCCCTTTTTAAACTTTAGTTCAGGGGTAGAAGGGAAGTAAGTAATGGAGAATCAATAATGCAGGGCCAGGATTAGGTTGCCTTAACACAGATCAAATTAGAGCATCGGTTACTGACAGAAATCTCTCTAACAGCAGCAGTGAGCATTGAGTCTGCATGAGAAACCAGTGCTTCATAGTATGACCAATTATACCCACACCCTGTGACAGATACACACAATTGACTAAGTCATTGAATGATTAATCTCATTATCCATCTTACTCAGCTTTAAAAACAAGCATTGGTCCTACCTATTCTGACCAAGAATACAAATGAAGTATAAAATTAACTTTCAAAATTCCTAAAAATTTGTAAATGTTTCACATTTTCACAGAGGTTATTCTTTTGAATTTGAAGTGCTTCAGAAAGCTATTTGGGATTATGATTATCTTTTGTGTTCTCACTAAAAGATAATATTTTAATTTATGATTTGGGTCATAAAGTCAATAATCTGAGAGTTGGACACAAGCTGAGGCAAACTGAAATAATAAACATCATCCAATTATGCTTTTGGACATCTTACTTTGTTTACTCTCACTGTAACAAGGGTTGTGTCACAAGGACATTGTAAATATCTGATGATGATGAATAAGTATGTTACATGTATTACAATATTTTAAGGGATAATTGATAAAACAATGGATGTACTAAGTTGTTTCGAAAACTCCAATAGGAGGATACTATATAATATGAATGTATTTGTAATAATTTCATTTTTATGTCCTTTTCATATCATCACAACTGATTCTCAAAATTTAAAATTAAAACATGCACATTATTTTCTGACATTATACAATTTGATTTTTTTGGTTGGTAACTTTCAAATATCAAATAATTATGGAGGAAAGTGTAAAGAAATGTGAAATGTACCTGGATGACCTTTGCAATAACAAAGGGATAATACTTGGGTTTTTACCTCTGATGTTAAACTTTTCTGTTCGAAATATCTCTTCACAATTCAAACGCCAGATATTTTCAATGTTGTATCTCAAACCTGAAGGTTCAGAGATTACGTTTGTTTACAATGTTATTGTTACACTGTACATATCCACATCAATGTTTGTGTGACAAAGCAAATTACATTTCATTCTCAAGGTGTGTGAAAACATTGATAGCTGTCATATGCTGTTGTGGTATCCAGTTACTTTCATATGTCAATCTAAAACAACAATGATACGATATGTCGTCCGAAAATAAGTTTGACTGAGCATGATTGAACTAATGTAGACCATGTCTCTGTGTGCGCGACAATGTTGTGGCAACAGCTGACGGATATACGACCTTCCCCTTCATGACGTCATAAAATAGGCCATGCGTATAATGTTATCGAAGTCCTAGTGAGTTGAATACCGTCCTTAATTTTCACTTTTGTTAATATGTACTCACTCTGGTTATATGGATATAGATTTAAAGAAAATAATAGATGCAGTAGCCACACGAAATATGGTAAATGTGTCTTGTGAAAGGATTTGTCACGTGCGCACCGAACTACTTCCAACGGTATTACTACACAGCTTATGTTCAATGACGAACGGTTTTCTCGTGGAGAGCGGGAGGCGTACTTTTCCTCTACTGCCGCGACAAATGAACTTGTAGCATTCCCTGAACAATTAAATTTGTCATGTCAATTTACCAGATCACATAAACAAACCACTTATAAAATCCAATTCACAAAAACATACTGCCTTTTCAACAGATTTGGCATGCATCGGTGTAGATATTTGAACAATGTCTATATCCGACATCATACAATATTATCTGTGAGCGCAGAATCATTTATCATACTTTACCAATTTACATCACTGATTTCATTGCTGATATTTTGTCTGAAATAATTTCACCTTTCCGTGATAAAAGCACGGTCACTGTGTAAACCCGTTTACGCAGGTGTGGTGGACATGACACGTCTACACCTCATTAGCATAATTTATGCATAAACTTTGTTACCTTCGTTTTCAGTTAAATTGCATCCTTGAATCGAAGTTTTACTAGCCTAGGCTTACAAATATTGCCTAGACTTCAGCAGAAGAAGTCTCGTCGAGCTTATCAGGTTATTTCGTCCGATATTGCAAGGCCTTATCCGAGTTTCCTTTGTCTGCTAGAAATGGCTTCTCTCTGTGAGGAGCAAAGAGGGGTCGTCTAGCGAGGGAACTTTTATCGGAAAAGGGAACTATACCGGACTACAATAAGTCTCACAGACTTAACACATCAGACATAGATAAGATGAGGAATGACATAAGTTTTCAGCTCCAGACAAAGTCCGATTAAGGTGCTTTTTTCCTGCTTTCTTGGTCACATACCATTCCTCACAAAACGCAATATGGCGACGTGATGTCATGAATCACGTGACCTGAATGTAACTGGAAATAACCCGTTTAGGGCAGCCTATTTATACTACAGGGGTGTGGAGCTTTTTATTTAAGGTTTTATAAATACGTATTAAGAAGATGCATGGTGATAAAGCCCCGCGAAGTCGATCATAAATATATATATTAACATTAATCGCAACATCTGGTATTAGTTTTTAATCAAGCGACATATTAGATTTTGGTATTTTTCCACAACATATCCTTCATAACCTATAGGTAAATATGGACTGTACCATCTACGTAGGGCGCTTCGGCACACTTAGGAGAATTTAGCTTCTTGTAAAATGCAACGATATTACGTACAAGAACATCAACATTTTTACAAAAATAGTAAATGCATGGGGGTATGTTATAAGGGATGAACTCACAGTTTATGGATGTACTGTGGATTAGTGATTGATGTTGGTTGTTAAAACAGGATGTGATTTACGCATCGCTTGTGCCCCCACTATACAGATTCTCACATATTTGTATGTAGGTCACTGGGCCTGATAATAACAGTTATTCATCAAGCCAGTATTTCCTAGGGATATCAACATTATCCTAATTACGTAGTCAACGTGTACGCTATCAAATCATCTTAAACAGATGACATAGTAATTTAATGTTAGGCATAAACGTTTAAGTATAGTGAAGAGGATAAGAATGAGATATTATAAGATTACATAGTACACGAGTTCAACTGCAACCATTAAAAGTAACTGTCTCCTATGATTTATCTAAAACAAACTAAGTCACAAAACAATTACCAATTTAGCTTACAACCGATTTTCAATAATATACTAGCAACCCAAATGAAGTACGGTTTTTAAGAAAATGTGAAAACGACCGTTAATATAGTCTGTTGTTTAACCCACTTGTCGTGTCTCCTGTCATCATTTCTCATCCCTCTACCTCTAAGGTTTACCTATGTCAACCAACCACACTATCTCCAGTATCTTCGGGTAATATCACTGTTGTCAGAAACAGTTCTTCTCGTTTGTGTTTGTCCATAACAAGAGGTTTACCCTATTTCACGACGAGCAGCAGTCTCCGAAGTTTATAGCCATCCATTTATACAAGTTGCGTGTCACTAGAATAAAAGCGATTACCCGCATCTGGGCCTGAGGCGAGTTGAGCCAGCCTTTGTTATTGTCTCGAATGTCACAATTCGTAAACCCGGTACTGTCGGCTTACATACGTGACATCGTCTATTCATATTATTCGAATGAAGATAATTTTATGGTGCTTTGTTATTTGTATTTTATGGACTTTGACTAACAAGTCAGTTAGTTGTCGTTTAGGTCGTTAATCTGAGTCAAAATATGTGCACGTTTGTTGCTATTATACAATTGGCATTTCAGTTGAATCGAGACTTTCAGTGTACACCACCATCCCAACACAGTACAAACAAGTTACGTTTCGGGGTAAACATGAGTGCAGACATGAAAAGTAAATATGTATATATTAATATATATTGTATATATATTATGAAGAAAGATATCGGAACTATTATTATACACGATAAATATAGTATGTGTAGTTGATTGAGGACCTGCAGTGGATACAGTCATACAATATTTTGATTGAAAATTACCTTCATGACAAGCATTGTCTATAAAAAGAAAAATGTTTTTAAACAACTTTACAGGAGATATTTAAAGATATTTGAAGTTGTTTTTTTATAAGAGCAAGGAATTAATGCATGTGCGAAGATTTTGTTATTGTTTGGACAGTCAACGAATGTCTGAGGATGTAACTGTATATTCACCATAACTTAGACAGTTTCACCTTCTACCCTGTATGGTTCAGGGCTGCATATATCTGGTATTTAGGTGTATCTGCCTCAGTTTCTATGTCCAAATTTCGGAATCAGGATCTTAATTAAGGTAGTGGTAATCTATGATCCTTGCTATTTACTGCTGAAACCTCACGTATACATCTTTATAACTATGTTATAATGTTTCATCGGAGATCATCATACCGTCTGCAAGTATTAATAATACGTGCATGGAGTAGAACTGAAGATGGTTGGTGACGGATGACATATATTTATTACTAATCTGAACAGATAATGCATTCATTTAGACATTTACTATAATTATTAGATGGTCACGGCTTTGACTAAATTATCATTGCGATATCTATGAAAATTTAAATATTATCTGCACTGCAGATTGTAATACATTACAATGAAGCTTTGTCCAGTGCTATTGTGCTTTGGCAATGTAATACATATAAACATATCGACACAGGTAAAACAAGGTTTTCTATCAGCTTATAATCTGCTGTACATCTGAGGAAATATACTAGCCAGTCATTTTATCTAACTTAATGCCTAAAGGGTTGGAATAAATTTGACATTTTAAACTTGCAAATTTTTCATGTCATATATATATGCATGCACATATAGTGCACTTTGAATCTTCAAAGAAAATACATTAGTATGATATCTGGGTGAAATGGGACGTTCGATCTATTTTGAAACAAAAGCGAAATTTATTTGGTGGACGACTGAACTGGTGAGTTGTTTTCTCCATTTACAACAGGCGATAATTACTTGACAAACAGACTTGTTTTGAAACAGAAGCGAAATTTATTTGGGGGACGGTTGGACAGGTGAGATGTTTTCTCCATTTACAGCAGGCGATAAGTACTTGACAAACAGACATCTGTAATTCTCAGGGTATCAAAGGATGTATTTTCATCTGTGTGCAGGATTGTGTAACACCTCGAGTCTGGGCTTAGCAGGTATATGGTGTGCACGCTGAGTGTGCGGGGTATCCCTGCTGGCGAGAGCAGATGGCTGACCTAACTATTCACGTCTCAAGCTGCGTGCGCCCTGGCCTCGGGCCGCCTGGAAAACCGTCAGGCCGACATCGCGCTGTGATCATCATGATGTGTTGTCGGAGTTGCTTCCCTTTAACTGTTTGGGATTAATGTTTCGTTTGCATGACACATGTACTTAATGAAAAATCCGCTCTGCCAATTCAGTACATCCTCGATTGGGCTGCATGACAAAATTAAATGTCTTTCAGGCACATTTCTTTCTCAGTTTTGAGTAGGACAACATACCTGCTTTATCAAATGACCAGCGGGAGGAACTCTTATTTTTCCCACCAACTTACTTGGGCACAACACCAACATACTTGGGCACACGGCTTTTTAATTAGGATTATTATGTAGATTATATTAAGTAGTAAGGTGTATGGCACTGTTTCCATATAATTAAATTTAGCAATAAGAACACCTCGTAGAATCTTAGTTATGTTTTATACTTCTTTATATTCATGTTCCATAGATCTGCACAGTAAGCTTTACTCTCAGTTTAACCTTCACTAATTGTCACACTCTGCATGCTTACATCACGCCTTGCCCCAGCTCCCGGTCATTTCTGTTGTTCCACTGATAGGCCAAGTTGGTCACAGCTTAACTTGAATGTGAAGATTTAAACTCACTTGCTCTCTATTACTTCTGAAGGAAGGAGACCGTTATTTCTAGAGATAGGAATTTCATATGAGGATTTGAGGTAGGTTCATATTGTATAAAATGTTGTATTTTGTATGAATAGTTTCCTGTTTATTATAATTAAAAATATGATTTACTAGAGGATACAGCTTTTTGAGAAAGGTTAGGTGCACTCTCTTGAGATATAGGGGGTGGGGTGGGGTGGATGCACACTTCATTTTCACGAGAGTTTCAATGGTCATTTAATAAACTTTCAGGACAAAAAAACACTGTTGTGTTTGGGCGTTTGAATCAAATATGGTGCTGGTGTGTTTCAGCACCCTTGTTTTTCGCTGTTTTTAACAATGTTTCATTTCACTCAAACTCAACGAATATTGAATCAGTTGCTTCACTGCATGTTCCAACATGTCGTTTAAAGTGCCCATTAAGCACACAAAAAGTTGCATTTACCTTAGAGTATAAATGACCTCACCACGTTTCAGTTTATATATGACTATCAAATTTTAGGGTGTTCCCATATTTTTTGTTTGTAGTATATATATTGTTCTCTGCATACCCACTTATTCGTTATGCAGATCTGTGATTGTGCAGTCACCGTTTTATCAGCATGGGTATAACCAGGGATACTCTTATATTATAAGAGTCTCCCTGGTATAACCAACCTGGTATGTAAAGCCAATACCGATTCATTACATGTATGCTATAAATGAACTCATTATAATATTTCCTAATTGTATAAATGTATTGATATTTTGTAACACTGTAACTTGCTTTACAGTTCAGATGTATTCAACTAGATGTATATTATAGACTTACTGAGTAATTTAAAAATGTGTACATATTTCTCCGCTCCAAGGAACAGAATCTTCTGTGCATTCAGAACAGTTAAAATTTGTCTTATGCAACAGCCTCAGAATGGAATCATCTCCCACAACATTTGAGAGAAATAAAAGAACTATCAACCTTTCGAACAGCACTAAAGACCCACCTTTTCAAAAAAGCCTTTTCGTCCTGACATTAGCGCTTTGAGTATGCATTGTGCATGGAAATATACGCTTTATAAATGAACTATTATTATTATTCTTATTTATCAGATTCTGTTATGTATAATTCTTTACGTTCTTTCAGGCTGTCTCATACATAGACGTGAAATAACGCCCCGCCGCACAACACGCAGACGCTTGTATTCTTTCCACTAACATGGCGCTGTTATATATATACTAGCCACATAAAGAAACTGTGCATTGTCAAAATATTATCCCAGTTGATAAGTACGATAACAATGTCAAAGGTACATATAAACTTTAATGGAGGGATCATGAGACCATAACAAGTCGGGAGAATTTCAATTGAAAAGTCAATCACAATGACGTCACGAGTCCACAAGCGGGACAGGGGTCAAACGACCATGTCACAAGCTCAATAACGGGTATGTCCACCATCGGCATTGAAAACAGCAGTGCATCGACGACGCATAGAGCCTATCAAACGTGCAAGGAAGGCTTGTGGGA